TGTTCCCACCTTTTGGCTATTATAAAGAATACTGCTATGACCATTCATGTATATGTTTTTATGTGTACATATGTTTTTATTTGTGGGGAGGGTATATACCTAGGAGTAGAATTGCTGGGTCATGTGGTAACTCTATGCCTAACTTCTCGAGGAACTGCGAAACTGTTTTCTGTAGTAGCTGTACCACTTTCTATTCCCACCACCAATATATGAGGTTTTCAATTTATCCATATCTTCCCCAATGCATGTTATTGTCCGTCTTTCTTATTTTTTATTATAGTCATCTAGTGGGTGAGAAGTTGTGTCTCCTTGTGGTTTTGATGTACAGTTCTTCACCGACTAATGATGTTGAAAATATGTGTGCTCTGTTAAATAACAGTTTATCGAATTTTTATTTTAGTGATCTAAACTGACTGGACATTAGACCCTTCAGTAATTTTAGCCATTTCAGGGTTGATTGCTTCATCAAGATCAGAAGTAGAGGAAGAAGGGTTTGTTGTGTTAACATAAGCTATTGGCAAATGTAACGGCTATGTGTGTTCTGGATTTACTTCACCATTTCTGTGTGAAAGAATTCATTTATACAATGAGTAGAATTTTTAAGAATTCGTTATTAACATGTGATTTTCCAAAATAAACTACACCATCTATCTATATATCTTATCAGATTGGTTGTAAATATGCTGCTTGTGTTAGCAAAACGATTATATTGGTTTTCCACACTACAGAACAAAAGTAGAAGTTTTTATTTCCAGCGCATCAGGACAAAACTACTGAGCCTACTACTGTGTTTGTACATATATTAATTTGGTTGATTACTTCAAGGTGATGGCTTTGTTAGCAATCATTATTTATTCATTAGGAATTATAAGAGCAGAGCGCCTCCTGCCCCGCACACAAACACTTGTGGGATCTACTTTCCATCCCTTGTCTCACTCACTGCTTGAAGAGGCATCCTTGTTTGTGGTTCTTCTCTCAAACTCACGTTCTTCTTGGAACTTCTTCTATGAAACAAGGTGCCCACCTGGCCACCACTCTCTCTGCTAGGCTCTCTGATGGTACATTCCCCCAACCCCCAGTAAGCATTGTTGTTGGTTTTGGGTTTGTTTGCATGGGGTTTTGTTCCCTTTTCTTTTAGGTGTTTTCTCCCCTGTTTCTATATGTGACAATTTAATTTTGTAAAAATAATAAGGAAAAAACACCCCTTGGATTCTTGTCTTTCCTCCTCTGACCGCTTCTCAGCTCTTGTGCCTCACCAGCCAAAGGCAGTTTGGTCATTCACAAAGTTCAGTGGGAACCCCTCTATCTCCCCACCCTGGGAACAGCTCAAGGTGCTGATGGGTAAATTTGCATCTTAGAAGTAACTGAATGTCAACTGCATTCTCACAGTTTAGATTTATACTTTTGATTCCTGGGGTCATGCGGTACCTTCTCAATGCAGCCTGGACACCTGGTTGCAGTGCATCATTAGGAAGCCTGCTAGCTGAGAAAGACTGCTTAGTGCCCGGTTTCAGCCTTGCCTTGCTGAAGATTGTCTCTGGCCATCTCCAGGGTTCTGAGGGTGGAAGTCACATAGAGCTTGCTGGACAGTATCACCCATTCCATGTAAGATGGATATCTAGAAAGAGAAACTAGTGTCTCCATTTTATTGTCCTTGGGAGATTTTATTATGACCCACATCTTCATTCTTTAGAACTCTGTATGGCGTAACTTCCTTTTTGTCTGCACTACAGTTTGACAGTAGGCAGTGTGACTGATACTTGTTCCAAGACTGGCTAGATAAAGAATTGCATAAGAGGGGTTGAGTTTGTTTTCACTGCCAAGTGTACAGAGAACCAGAATCTTAGAACTTAGAGCATATTTAGTCTAATTCACGTTACTGCTGGCAAGATTCAACACAGAAATGGTGAGTCCCTCCTCCATAGTTGCACAGTCTGCCAGCAGCAGTACACATGGCTGTGTGGGAGCCATGATAACTGTGGTGATTGTACCAGGCATTCTCCACGAGTGTCCTATTCTCTACATCTTTTGAACATTTACTTGTGGCCTTCTTAGAATTGAACATTTGTGCAGAGAACAACATACAGACCTCACCTTTGTCGGAATCTGAATCCAGAAATGTTCTCTGCCTGTCAGTGTCATGTGTAAGACCACCTGGTCACTTGATGACTTCAGAAATTGTAGTTCCTCTGTGTCACTCCTTGGACTCTGTTATACTGACTAAGCAGTGAGCCAAGTCAGTTGGAAGCTTAGCTTCACTAACCTCCTTTTAGTTCATGGGGTTGTAACCTGTTAATAGAAGCAAGGAGCTTAAAGAAACTTCTGAGTTGTTGCTTTTATTTTTACCCTCAAGAAACTGTATAAAGGCAGCTTTGTTATGCAGGGTTTAACTTTCATTTAGCAAGTACATGTTTCATTCCCAAATCACTTTTTTGTTGTGATGATGTAGGGGAGTCCTACTGCATGTTGGTCTTCAGTTCATTTTCCAAACTCTTTCCACTGGTGGGAACAGTGTTCTGACTTGTATTTGTTAAAATGGCCCTGCACTGTTGAGTTATATTTGAGGTGTTAAATAAACATTAAAAACAGTAAGCATCTACTAGACTGCCGAAAACATGAATTAGCCTTAAAATCCATTTTGACTTTGCTGCCCTAGAGACGGATCCTTTCTGTCCCTGGCCAGAAGGGCGAAGAAACACCAGCTCCCCTGGCAGGGCATCACGGAATCACCCTACGAAGATCTGAGCATCTAGAGTCAGTGCTAGGGCTGAAAGCCAACTTGTCTTTGAAGTTTAGAAGAAAGGTTTTCTATTTTTGTATTAAAATTTATCATACCTTTCCTTTTTCTGGTTCATTTGTTATATATTCTTTTTCAATGTAACTTCCTGAAACCACAGGAATGAGAAGCACATGCTTGGCCATGCTCTGAGAAATAAAGGGAAGTCAGGAACTTTTTCTGTTTTCTTAACTTCTCTATCCAGAGAGTTATTTATGAAGCTCTTAGGCAGGTTTTTAAAGTAAACATCCCTCATGCGTAGCCTTCCCCGAAATAGGAAGGCTGTGGGGCAGTGAGCTGGCCTGAGGAGGGAGGGAGAGAGGGCTCATGCTTGCTGGGAACCCTGCCTGGCCTTCAGCATCCCCTTGTTCCTACGGAGCAGCAGGCTTTGCCAAGTTTGTGCCAAGGAAGAACCACTCTGCTCATGTAGTGAGCCTGATCTGTTCCAAGGATCTTGTGCCATTTCCTGTGTCCCTGCTGAGCATCTCTGAAACATCGGTGGAGTTACAGAGACCTATGGGCTCTTTATCCTTTAGTCACATGGACTCTCCTGCAAAGGACATGCAGGTGGAATTTACTAAGGGAGTGTGCAAACATGCAGCTACTGCAGATAATGTGCTCAGTGGGTGGGGAATGGAGGGAGGACCCATGAAAAGTCGTCTTATTCCCAAGAAGTTGATAGATGAGCAAAGGAGATGATAGTATAAGCAAAAAAGGGGGATAAAGGGAGGCAATGTAAGACTTATAATAACTTCAAACAGTAGAAATGCTGGATTTCTTTTTTTTTTTTTTTATCCTCACCCAAGGACACTTTTCCACTTTTTGTACAGATAGAGTGGGAGGGAGAGAGAGAGAGAGAGAAACATCGATGTGAAAGGGGCACATCGAGTGGCTGCCACCCGCACAACCAACCAGGGCTGGGGACAAACTGCAACCGAGGTACATGCCCTTTGCGGGAACCGAACCCGGGTCTCTCCGGACCGCAGGCTGATGCTCTAACCGCTGAGCCAAACCGGCCAGGGCAAAATGTTGGATTTCTTGTTACCTCTGTCTATTTGGCTTTGGAAAGTGAGGGTTCCCTGAAGCCACAAAGGGTGGACTCAGGAATGGAGAGCAGAAGGACCCTGTACCCAGGCTGGAGCATTGCCATATGTTCTTTTTGTTGGCCTGGTTTATTTCTGACAACTCAGAGGGAAGTACTATCACCGCCTTCATGGATGATGAAGTTAAAGTCAGAAATATTAACTTTCCTGAGGCTCATGAGTATCTCAGCAACAACTGAGCCAGAGCTTTGGCTTGATGACCATTCATTCTTTCTCTTCCATCACACTGATTTTCTCTGCAACTGAGAAGGTTTCCACCTCCTTTTCAGCACAGTTTATTATACCCCAGAGAAACTGATCTCTTCACAGTTCCTTTAGAGGAATTGAGATGTGATGCCCAGGAGCCTGTGCTGGCATGCTAGTCTGAAGGGGGCCTAGGACCATGTTCTGGGATGCTTGTCTGTCTGCAGGGGACCCAGGACTCATGCTGGGCTTCTATGAGAGGCAGCATTTTAGCCTCTCTTCAGTAACTGTAGTGCTTTTATTAGATACTTAAGTGCTGACAGCATATGGCTGGTTGGGTGTTTTTAAAAGATCCTTCTATTCGGAATATATTTACTTAATGTCTTGTGCGTATCACTCCAATACAAAGATGAGTCAGACCCCAGTCTTCTCTCTTTCCAGGAAAGCCTTATTGATAGAGATACCTGAAATGGTTGAATAATTCTTCTATTCTAAACTCAAGGTTTTACTCTCTTCTTTCATTAAAGACCTTTCCCCACATTTGTAATCATCATTGTCTTTTCTCTTTTGGAAGTTTTAAGATTTTGCTGTTGTGTTATTTTTTTACACGAAACCATCCTGTGTTATTTCTACTGGCAGTCAGCTTTTCTAAGGCCACTCCTCATCTCTCACTGGGAGTGCAGAATGCCTGCTCAGACTGTCCTTGAAGATTTGGACAGGGATTTGAAGAATTGGTCCATAAGGTTGAGTAAGATCAGGGGCGGCTCCTTCCAGCTCTTCCCTGTGGCCTAGCTCTTCTCAGCGGCCCTGCATGAGGCTATAAGTCAGTGGGTATAGGTTTCTGTTAATATGGACAAGTGTTAAAACCTACACTTCAGGGAAGAACTTTCACACCCAGAATCCGAGGCACTTATGCTAACACCAGTCTGTTTCCACAGTGTGCTGGAGAAGAGAATTGGGTCGACAGTCGGACCATTTACGTGGGACACAAGGAGCCCCCCCCAGGTGCTGAGGCCTACATTCCACAGAGGTACCCAGACAACAGAATAGTCTCAGCCAAGGTAACCTCCTGTCTTTGCGTTTATTAATTTCCTTTGGAGAGCATTGGAACTTTCTAACAGGAATTGACAACACTGCTCCTAGAACTGCCGTTACAGCTGCTATTCACTCCCGACTAAGGGCTGTGATTACAACTTACATGAGGCTTGTGAACTCATTGTCCCTCTGGTTGTCCCCGAAACACTGTTCAGACTTGCCAAGATGTTACAGCACATTTTCTTCATTTCTTTTTTAATTATATTAAGTCTAGGATGTTCAATTCCTACTACTGCCACTTATTTATTTGCTGCCTGGCCATGTGCCAATCATGAACCACTCTGGGCTGGATTTTCTCATCTGTGAAATAGAGATGATGCTAGGTGTCATCATTGAAAGGGTGTGTTCACAACCACCTTGTAAACCAAAACACTGAATGTATGTCAGAGCCTGTCAGGTGAAATAAGTGCAAAGATAAAGAAATGTGATTAGAATGTCATCACATCAAGGAAGTGCCTTGTTTCTGTTGACTGGAGAGTGGGACTATGGAGGGGTGGGGAACCTTTTTTTTCTGCCAAGGGCCATTTGGATATTTATAACATCATTCTCGGGCCATACAGAATTATCAACTTAAAAATTAGCCTGCTGTATTTGATCAGGCTAATTTGTTGAGGTGTGTGATATTAGCTGGTATTGATTTCTTTGCGGGCCCTCAGGCCAGATGTTCCCCACCCCTGTCAAGTAAATGGTTAGATAATAGGGTGGGGAATTTTTGTAGCTAGCTTTGACAAAAATGGTAAGTGATGGCTTTCCAGATTATGGAGAGCTCTTCCTTTAGCTGCCTATACATACTGTCCATGAAGGCATGCAAACATTCCTGGATTCACTGACTGTGGAGATCTGTGGTAGACGGAATGAATTCACATGTGAGTGTCCAGGATGTGTAGATCTGTGTGCTAGACATACTTCTATGAGCTATCAAAGAGTATTTGTTAAGAATACTTCAAACAGAAAAACTTTGTTTTTTAAGGCAGTTTTGTAATGGAATAACTTTATTTTAAAACTGCAATGTGTGCCCTGGCCAGTTTGGCCAGCAGTTAGAGCGTTGGCCTGCGGTCCAGAGAGCCCCGGGTTCGGTTCCCACTAAGGGCCAGTATCGTGCGGGTGGTAGCCATTTGATATGTTCTTTTCATGTCGGTGTTTCTCTCGCTCTTTCTCTTCCTCTCTCTCCCTCCCACTCTATCTGAACAAAAAATGGAAAAATGTCCTCAGGTGAGGATAAATTAAAAAAAATAAATAAATAAAAATAAAATCACTTATAATGTTGTCCTTATTCTTTAAAAAATAAAATAAAGCTGCAGTGTGTAATAATAATAATAGTAGCTTTAAGCTCCAGAAACACAAGGTGGGTAAGTAATTGCCTGTAAACAAAATCTCAACTAAGTAGACGTAGTGCATGGGTATCCACATGGTAAAGGAAGGAGAAATAAAATGAAGAGGAACTCCATATCTAAAAACACGTCTGTCCAGTAATGACATTTATAAATTTGACACAGTCTTAAGTAGAGATCACTAAAGGTGATTTCTGTGCACATATGCACTCTGTCTACCCAGCAGTGTGGCCAGAAAAGAAATAAAACCTCAAAAACATTTCTTTAAAAAAAATTTTTTTAAGTTTTCATTTACGGTTGACCTACAATAATATATTAGTTTTAGCTGTACAACGCAGTGATTAGACATTGATATAACTTAAGGAGTACCCATCTAACACCATATATAGTCGTTACAATATTATTGACTATCCTTATGCTGTACTTTATATACTTGTGACTGGCAATTTTGGAACTGGCAATTTGTACTTTTAATCCCATCACCTTTTCCGCCCATCCTCCCAACCCTCTCCCGTCTAGCAACCATCAGTTTATTCTCTGTATCTATGAATTTGTCTCTCAAAAGTATTTCTTAAAAATCTCCTTTGCAGTATAAATGCATCAAGAAATGGGGCAGTGTACTGAAAAACATTAAAATGTTGTGCCATGTGTGAACTTGTCAGGACAGGAGTTTGGGGTACAGGTGATGGGGCATGTGACCTGCCCATGCTGACCAGTGTCTAGTTCGGGTAGGATGTTTGTCAAAGGCCCTTCAGACACTGATACGAATCCCTTTACAGCTGCTTTCTCCCTCCAGGACAAAGCTTGGCCTTGATGGTTCAGCCCCCAGTTCCTTCCAGTAGATGTGAAAAGTTCTTTGCAGAGGAACTTTCTGAAACACAAAGCACCTAGTTGATGGGAGGCATCAAAGGGCCTTCTTGATGCAATTGGCAGAACATACCTGGATACCTTATTTATTCTAAAAGACCCTGTCAGTGTTTTGGGGAAGAAAATGGAAAGCATTTATTTCTAAATTCCATCCCAAGTTTTATAGCCAATTTATTATTTTCCTATTTTTCTTTCAAATATTCCTGTAGCCAATAGCCAACAATAATTTTGAGATGTCTTGTCTTACCTCCTCACATTGCAACTCACCACCTTTTCTGTTCCTTTGGGATATCTTTTCTCTCCCTGCGGTGGCACCTTCCTGTTCCCAGCTGCCATACATGCACTGGAGCCCCCAGAGCCTCCTTGGTTTCTGACAGAGGAAACCCTGTGCTAGACATGGGGTTTGATAAAGACTTGCAGATTCCTGGAGGCCTTTTTGGAACTGTTTCTTCTCAGGAAAACTCCTTCATATCAGGAAACTCTAGAGCAGAAACTAATAGAATTAAGTCAACATCCTTTCAGGAGGTGGGTCAGGGTAAGGGGTTGAGTGTTGGGTAAAGTACTCATCGACTTTCATCTCAGCTCAGAGTAGAGAGGACTGTGCTCTCAAATTCATGTGTGTGCAGAGAATGATCTTCATTCCTCAAAGAGCAGCATCAGTGGCTTTCTATCAGTAGATGACTGTGTATAATTTCAAGGAAAACTTATGTATAGCATCACCTCTGTTGCTAATTAAATTCAGTTTGGACAAGGATCTCAGAAAGACGAGGATTTGGATTCTAAGCTGGTAGTGGATGGTGGCATTGATTTAGGTAACTAGAGTGGAAATCTAGAGCATGTGATTGTTTTCATTTAAAAACAGTTCATGATATATGAAAACTACCATTTAATTTGTAAAACATAAGTTTACAGCCAGGTTAGGAAAATATGTTTGTGATCAAGTATCTATGTTTTCTTGGGAAAGAAAACTTTTATTTCTACCTTAATGGAAAAGACTGAAGTACACCGAAGTGTTTGCTCAGTGAGTCTCGTGTATCATGTGCGTATTATGACGGGATGAAAAGGCCAATTCATTTATGTTAAAATTCTGACCTGTGCATAAAAGGTCAATGAGAAGTGATTGATTTGAATTCCATTTCCTTTTTGGAGGAGACACACTGATAAAAGAAGGAAAACCAAGAGATTACTCCCAGGTGTGACCCCTTTCCTTTCCTTCTGACCACAGGAGAACTCCCCAGCCAGGGCCTGCCTGAGCTCACCGTGCTGGCACATCCTGGACTCAAGAGAATGAGAGAGCACTGCTTCATCAGTTTCACAGAACTTTTGGGCACAAAATTTACTTGGCTCTCAGCTCTGCCCTAAGATGCTACAAAATTAAATAGTAGGCTTAGGCGGCACTGTCACTCAGTGGTTGAGCGTCGACCCGTGTACCAAGAGGTCGCCGTTTTGATTCCAGGTCAGGGCACATGCCCAGGTTGTAGGCCCAATCCCTAGTGGGGGCATGCAGGAGGCTGCCAGTAGATGTTTTCTCTCATTGATGTTTTTATCTCTTTCTCCCTCTCCCTTCTTCTCTCTCTAAAAAAAATAATTAAAAAAAAAAAAAATGGTCTCTTGCATGTTAAATGAAAAAAATAAAATAAATTATCTCATTTGGTTATCAGTTTTCTTATACATCAGCAATTAACCCTCTTTTTTACTACATTAATTATCAGTAATAATTTATTATAGTAATTTATTCTGTGAAATGTAGAAATTAAAAGCCTAATGTCAAAGCTATAGCATGGCCTTTCCATGCCTGACTAGAATAAAGAAACCATTTAACTGATTTTAAATTCCAAATTTATGCTGGTTACCTGGCAGACCAGAAATCAGAATTAAAACCACAACATCATCATTTACATTAGCACTAAAAAGAAAAGCAATACATACTTATACATAATTAAGTATAAATCCTACAAAATATGTATAAGAGCTATATGAAGAAAACTATAAAATGTTGATGAAAGAAATCAAAGAAGATTTAAGTCAGTGGAGAAATATTCCATGTTCATTAATAGTAAGACTTAATGTTGTTAAGATACGAGTTCTTCCCAACTTAATCTTTAGATTCAACACAATTCTTACCATCAAGTTATTTTTTAGATATCAATCAACTGACTCTAAAATGTATATGTGAAAGATTCAAAATAACCAACACAGTATTTAAGGAGAAGGACATAGTTGAAAGACTGACACTACCCGACTTCATACTTTCTATAAAGCTGCAGTACTAAAGGTAGTGTGACATTGGTGAAAAAACAGACAAGTTAAATAGTGGAATAGAAGAGAGAGCCCAGACATAGATCTATATAAGCATAGTCAACCCATTTTTGACAACAGAGCAAAGATAATATAAAGGTCCTAGATAACAGCATAGTAGAAAATCTAGGTGTCCTTGAGTTTGGCAATGAGTTTTGTGATACAACACCAATAACACCATAAAAGGTAAAATTGATAGGATGAACTTTATTGAAATTAAAATTTTCTCCTGTAAGAAAATTAAAAGACAAGTCACTGACTAAGAAAAGATATTCCAAAACACATATCCTATAAAGGACTGGTATTTAATGATAGATGGAAAATAAAGGTGGATAGGGTGTGGTGAGTTTGGGACCTAGAAAATGAATTTCCTTTCTAAACCTCTAGATACCCTCTTGGAGTAATTTTTTTGGGCCAACCTGAGAAGAGAACTGAAAATATGCCCATAATTGTCATGAGATGGGGGGGCCACTCCTTTGTTTTTCTGCTCATTAATAAACTTCATTATGAACTTGTGAATGTAAATTAGAATAGAAAATTCTCTATATACTCTATAAGAAGTCAGAAATTTAAGGCAAAACAGCTTTTTTTTTTTAAACTTCTGGTTATATGGTGAAATTGATGTAAAAATCAAATTCAGAATATTTTGCAAAGTTTAGGGCCATGCCAGGCTTTAGTTACTTCATTCAGTTTTCAGGAACTTGTGTTTGAGATTCTGACATTGAAGGAGCTTGGTATCTGGTGTCTTGGTATCTGGCCTGCAACGCGTACACATTGCCCCGACAGTAGCCAATGTCTCTTCATTCTACAGACAGACAGCAAGGGTCATGGGCAGAGCCCTTACTCACTCTTCAGTAGACTGTCTTCATTAAAGGCAAAAACCTGTCAAATGGAATTTTGAACATTTCCAAGCTTGATGTTTACTGTAGCTTAATGACATCTGGAACATTGTTGTTTTTAGCACAAAAGTTAGGGAAACGCTCCTTCTGAGGCAAAAATTCAAGGTTTGGAGAGTAAGTGGCAGCCAGAACTCTTCTCCCTGCTGGCTTCTCCATTCCCTCTAGAGAAAGCTCTCGAGTGTGGTGCTGACAGACACCTCCCTGTGTAGGAACCACCTCCAAACTGGTTCAGGACTGCCTAACAATGTTGACTATTTTAACTTTCTGTTACCATCTTGTCACACACCAAAAAAGAGCTTGTAAAGAAATCACAATCTAAGGGAATATGCTAAACATGTATATTTTTAGTTAACAATCATAGGTTTATATTTTGTAAAAGACATTTTAATAATAAAACTATTACTAGATACTTTGCATTACCTTGAATAATCAAGAATGAGGGAACTCACATATCTTACTTTTGGAGAACACATTTTCTCCTAGCAGCTTGTCTTTGTGGTCAATGAATTGATAAAATATAGGCAAACCCTCTGAATTTTGAATTGTGGGTTTTGTCTTTAAAACTAAACATTTTATATCTTGAGATTCAGTACTACTTATCAAGTAATAGAGTAACACTTAAAAAAAGTAAAATGTGATCATAATGACACCTTTTTGTTTTTCTTTTGTACAGTATACGTTTTGGAACTTCATACCCAAGAACTTATTTGAACAATTCAGAAGAATCGCCAACTTTTATTTTCTTATCATATTTCTGGTACAGGTAAGGCCAGTGACCTTTTTTCCTGTTGCCTCAAATCTAAATAAGTGACATTTTTTCCTCTGGTAATTAACTATAGTTTGCTAATAAGAAGGAATAAGGACTTGGTGCTATTTACCTACAGTACCTTTATTTTTTTCAAGGACAGGTGTGTTGGTTCAGAGGCCTATCTGCTAAAACATCCACATGGGCACTCAGTGTTTGAATGGGTTCTGGCCACCTTCCAGCCCTGGGGGTAGGGGTGAGGGTCAGGAACTTTGTTGTTGTTGGTTTTTTTTATCCTCACCTGTGGACATTTTTCCGTTTTTTGTTCAGAGAGAGAGAGAGACATCAACGTGAAAAGGACACATTGAGTGGCTGCCACCCACACGACCAACCAGTGCCAGGGACAAACTGCAACCGAGGTACGTGCCCTTAGTGGGAACCGAACCCGGGTCTCTCTGGACCACAGGCTGACGCTTCAACCACTGAGCCAAATCGGCCAGGGCGAGGAACTTTGTAATCTTTAGGAGAAATTCACCGGCCCAGTTAATTGCACTTATCCTCTTCCTAAGTATGCATAGATTATCCAAATAAAACAGGAGAAAGAGTGAGAAAGTAAAAAAAAAAAAGGAGAGTGAAAACCACAATGAGGTATGAATTGGGGAGTAGGTCAGATGTGTTTTAAGAACAGCAATCCAGTTTTTCTCAATTACACAAAATACAATTGAAAGACTTTTAAAATTTTTTCAACATTAAGTTATCCAAAAAAAAAAGTTGTAAAAGTGGGGCACCTGACACACAGTAATAAATGAGTGTTAGAATGTACATTGGTATCAGACTTGGGTCTTCACCACTGCTGGTGTGGTTTTCTTAAGCATTTCACTTAATTAAAAAGAACTGCCCTCAGTTTTATAGCAAAATAGGATGATTTACTTCTTACCTACTTTATCTCTAGTGGTGGGATAAAGTGTGGTAACAGTTAAGGCAATTAAAATAAGTAAAAGCGCCATGACCGGTTTGGCTCAGCAGTTGGAGCGTCGGCCTGTGGGCCAGAGAGTCCCGGGTTCAGTTTCCACTAGGGGCACGGACCAAAAAAATAAATAAGTAAAAGCAAATGTTGGGTGGTGGTGTAACAGGGACAGCCATTCTGTCTGAAGACATTAACGCATGTTTTTGAAAATGCCTCTACAATTTTCTTTTAATTGCAGTTGATTATTGATACACCCACAAGTCCAGTAACAAGTGGACTTCCCCTGTTTTTTGTCATTACTGTCACGGCTATCAAACAGGTAAGAATTTTACAAACAGAGGAAAAGGTTGTTATCTTTGTTGTGTGATGTCTCCTCTCATTCCAAACAAAGTAATATGGTTTGTTTTAGCTAGTTCATAGAACAATTTAACTATGTTCTAAAAATTCATAACTGTTTTAGGTTGAAATCTGAGTTAAAATGATAGAGATTATGTATCTTAGTTGCTAATTTGATGTCCTGTGAGTTTGAGGAAGAAACTATGGGTTTTACACTGAATGAGCCAGAGATGGTGCCTGATTTTAGATGAGTTGCTTAACCTGGCTCTGTTCTTGACCGTCTTACCTGCAAGGATCTGCTACCCTACAGAGGGTCTGGGATGTGGCTTCATAATAGAGCATGCTAACTCCTGACTCAGTGTGGATTGAATTATTCTTTCTGATCCTGATGAATAAAGCCAGTGGCTAACAGTAAAAAGAATGCATCTCAGCTATTTCCACTATCAATTTAGCCAGTTTAGTGTAGCAACCATCACCACTATTAAGTTCCAGAAAATTTCCACTGCATGGCAACTCATGGGTACAGATATGTAGCCACATCTGGAGATGTAAAGAACTCTTTGGGCACCTGGTTTCCCATTCATGTGCTGGGAAATATTACACAGAAGAAGTAATTCATCATCCTTAACTCAAATGCACATTCACATCCAGCAAAACCCAACTCAGATGGCATGTCAGTTAATGTAGAAAAGACAAAACTCTTGGTTGGAAAGTGTGCTTTCTTCTATTGGGGAAAGAATTTGAAATTTGAAAGAAATTTAAATTGTGCCTATTTAAGACCAAAAGAATTTTGCAGAGTTATTAGTCGAGAATTTGGTCAAGCTGATTTTCCAGTTCTTGAGCTAGTGTCTGAGTTGACATAGGAACAACTGATATTGATAATTTCCAGTGTTTGTTACAATCAATAAAATGAGAACTACACCCCACTTTCTATGAGTACCACAAAGTGAATCAGGCAGTTTACTCAGTTTGCTAAGAATATGGGTGGCCAGATCCAATAAAAGATACAGGAAATAAACACAGGCTCACTTGTGCTTTTCAAGGTAGAATATTTAAGTTCAGGTGGTGGAAATGTAATTGGTTTCAAGTTTCTTCAGGACTTTTGTTCAACTCATTAAAAGTCTAAAAGTCTTATTCATCTTTTGACTCGGACATTTTCTTTTTAGGAATCTATACTGTGAATATATAATAGATAGGCACAAAATTACAGTTGTAAAGATTTTTATCAGAAGTATATTTATAACTTCAATCCAAATTTCCATGCAGAATGTTCATGATATATTGAGGGCACAAAGTAGAGTAATATATCAATAGTTTTTTTTTTTTTTGGAGTGATAGGATTAGGTCTTTTTTTTGGGAGGAGTTACTTATGTATTTCTTAATTTTTTCTGCAGGCCACATAATATTTTTGTAGTATAAAAGGTAAAAACTGATTTGGGGAAGTTATTTTTGATTCTTTTATTTATGTCTTGATTTTGTTTTCAAAAATGTATTCTCCCTGCACTGAGTTGCAGAGTGGAGATGAGAAAACCAGGCACAAGACCCAGAAACACCAGGTTGAACACAGTCGAGGCATTGTACATACCCTTTATTCATTTATTCTACAGATCATTAATTGAGCTTCTTTCATGTGCTGTGGCCCATCGCAGCAAAATCCAGAAGGATTGGCTCAGATCTGAGGAACCCTCCATGTTTCTCTCACTTGTCACATGGGATTCTTCTTTTTTAGGGCTATGAAGACTGGCTTCGCCATAAAGCAGATAATGCCATGAACCAGTGCCCTGTTCATTTCATCCAGCATGGCAAGCTAGTTCGGAAGCAGAGCCGAAAGCTGAGAGTAAGTAATAACTGACACATTTAAATAATGTAAAACCAATAACTGTTTTTAAAAATATACCCATAGTGTGCCCAGCCAGTGTGGCTTAGTGGATTAAGCATCTCCCCATGGACTGAGAGATCTTGTTTTTTTCCCTGTTCAGGGCACATGCCCTGTTTTTAGGCTCAATCCCCAGTAGGGGGCATGCAGGAGGCAGCTGATCGTTGTATCTCTCAAATTGATGTTTCTATCTCTCTCTCTCTAAAAAATCTTTAAAAACATTAAACACACACACACACAATGTAACAGGTTTTTTAATTTTTTCTTTTTATATTTTTCCATTGGTTTTTTTTTTTTAAGATAGAGTGGAAGGGAGAGAGAGAAACATTGATGTGTGAGAGACACATTAATTGGTTGCCTCCCACACTACCCTGACCAGGGCCAGGGATCCAACCTGCAACCCAAGTATGTGCCCATGACTAGGAATCAAACCTGAGACCCTTCAGTCCACCGGCTGATGCTCTCACCACTGAGTAAAACCAGCCGCAGTTGTGATAAGTTTGTTTATTGGGTATATGCCCAACCTCTTCCCCAAATATTTCAGGCAAACTCCTATCACTATCTTTTTAAAAAAAATGTTTTTATTGAGTTTTAGAGCGAGAGGAAGGGAGAGGGAGAGAGAGAGAGAAACATCAATGTGAGAGAGAGACATCATTCAGCTCCTTCCTGCACTCACCTCGACTGGGGATTGAACCCAAAACCTGGGCATGTGCCCTGACTGGGAATCGAACCAGTGACCTTTCAGTGCACAGGATGACACTCAACTAACTAAGCCACACCAGACAGGACTATTAAGTTTGTTTTGTTTTGTTTTTTAAGTATTTAAACATTTTCTTTGCTTTATAAATTTTGCTATCTAGGTGTTTTAGTAATTCTGAATGAGCTTCCCCTCAGCCTTTATTGGTGATGTTTTTCTAGTGGTCATGGGGTCAGGGAGGTGAGGGGCTGGGAGCATGAGCCTCACAGCCATGAGAACAGCAGTGGGGACCCTATATACATATGAATAGGTTTCTTCAGACCCCAGACCCTAAATGCAGTTTTCTCCAACAACTATTTTTCCTTTGCAAAGTCTTTCGTGTTTTTCAAATTAAATTATTTTTCAATTTCAGTTGATATACAATATTTGTTTCAGGTATATGACTGCCATATACCTTGCAAATTGATCATCCCAATAAGTCTAGTAACCATCTAGCACCACACATAATTATTACAATATTATTGACTATATTCCTATACTGTACTTTGGATCCCTGTGACTATTTTTATAACTGGCAATTTATAACTTTTTAATAAACATCTCTTTCTTCAAAAACATACCTGAACAGTGTCCACCAGCAGAAAATTGAATTTTTAGTGCATTGATCTCCTATAGGACATGTCTGCTCTGTATCCAGCCTGTTCTAACTAGAGGATTCCAAATCGACTGTGTGAGACAAGGAAGAAAGATCAGGCTGTCTTTTGCGACTCTGGCCATAATGTCTTAGGCCTTCAGAGGATGCACCAGGCTATTAGAAAAGAAACCTTTAATTTGCTCATCTCTAAACTTGTAATTTCAAGAATGTCATTATATAAATGGAATCATGTAGTCCGAAGCCTTTTGGGACTGGCTTTTTTCACTCCACCTGATTCCCCTGATGATCTATCCCCCATGTGTGTACATCAGGAGCTCCTTCTGTTCTTATCAAGAACATGGTTTGTTTGGGTTAGACCAGAATTTGCTTACATTCAGCAATTGAAGGCCATTTATATGTTTTCTAGTTTGGGGCTATTATGAATAAAGCTGCCATGAACATCTGTGTATAGGTTTTTGTATGAATCAAGTTTTCATTTTTCTGGCATAACAGCTCAAGAGTTGAATTGTTGGCTAATATAGTAAATCCATTTTTAGTTTTAGAAGGAATTGCCAAAAATTTTTCAGAATGGTGGACAATTTTACATTCCCATCAGAAATGTATGAGGGATCCGATTTTTCTACATACTTGCCAGCATTTGGTATTGTCACTGCTTTTTATTTTAGTTATTCTGATATCTCTGTATGGTTTTTAAATTTGCATTTTCCTAATGGTTAACTATGTTGAATATCTTTTCACATGTTTATTTGCCATCTGTATATCCTCCTCTGTGAAAACGAACAAATAACTCTTCATGTCTTTTAATCATTTTCTAGTTGGATTATTTGAGGGTTTGTTTGTTTTTTTTAATCCTCACCCGAGGACATTTTTCGTTCAGATAGAGTAGGAGGGAGAGAGAGAGAAATAGCGACGTGAAAGGGATACATCGAGTGGCTGACACCCACCCGACCCAACCAGGGCCAGGGACAAACTGCAACCAAGGTACGTGCCCTTAGGGAGAACCGAACCCGGGTCTCTCTGGACTGCAGGCTGATGCTGTAACCGTTGAGCCAAACCAGCCAGGGCGAAGGTTTTTTAATGATGAATTTTGTAAGTTCATGTAGTCTAAATATTAGTCCTTTGTTAAATCCCTTAATGTGGTATTCACAAAGCAAAATTTTAAAATTTTTATGAAGTTCAGTTTATTGATTTTTTTTTTTATCTTTTATGGATCCTGCTTTTAGTGTCAAGATTAAGAGCTAGTTACCTAACCTGGAGCTCAAAGATGTTTTCCTGTGCCTTTTTTCTAACAGTTTTATGTTTTACATTTAAGTTCACACTCCATTTGGAATTAATTTTCATATAAAAATGTGAGGTTTAGGGGAAAGTTCCTCTCTTTTTTTTGCCTCTGACTGCCCAGTTCTACCATCATTTGTTTGAAAGGCTGTCTCTTCTCCATTAAATTGCTTTTGTACCTTTGTCAAAAGGCAGTAGGCGTATTTGTGTGGGTCAGTTTCAGTGTTCTCTGTTCTGTTTCATTGATCTCTGTGCCAGGCCTCTGCCAGTACCAGGCACAGTCCCGGTTGCTACTGATGCATAGAAAGCCTTCATGTCAGCAGAGTGACTCTCCCACTTCATTCTTCTTGTTCAAGATTATAGCAGCTATTCTAGTGCCTTTACCTGTCCACATAAATTTTAGCATAAGCCCACCTGTGTCTACAAAAATCTTTGCTGGGATTTTGATAGGAATTTCCCTAAACCCAAAGGTCTATTTGAGGAATTACTCTCTAATTTTAAGTTCTTAGACACTCTGTTGACGCACTAATGGAGTGTGACAGGGAACTTCACTAGTATAGGCAGAAGCATGGTGCTGTCCTGTTCCTGGAAGCACCTTGCAGTGGCAGCAGGAACATCCAAGCGATGCGAAGGAATTTGGACCTTCAAGCTAGTCAGCCTGATTTGTGGGGTTATGATGGTCATCTACCTTCCCGACATGAAGTCTGAAGTTACAATTGGAGAACAGGGGCCTTTCTGGCAAGTCATTAAGATGTCTTGCTTGGTGATGACAGTAAAACTGGGATGGTTTCATCTTATTTAAAAATCTGTCTCACCAATATTCTGTGACTCATTTTTGCTCTAGTTTTTGTAATGTGATTGCCACTTCTGCTTTCTTCTCAGTCATGCTTGAGTGATCTGGACAGTGTCTTGGTTCTGCTGTTCAGCCAGCTTTTAAAACTCTCATACCTGGTTTATAGAACACCTAGTTTTAAGTCAGCACCTTTCTACGAGAATAATTCCCACTTGGACACAGTAATAAAAGACTAGAATTCATCCTGTTGAGCAGAATGAAGGATAATCCTGTTATAGGTGTTTGTCTGTGTTTCCATTGCAAAATATTCAATCATAATGCACTTGGATGCTTCACAGATCTAAAATTGGTACATCAACACCTCACCTGGTCTGTCCTCAGTTTGGGCAGAATGCCTGGGAAATGAGCTTTCTCTAGAGTCGCATTAGCATCCACTTAGCCTCCTGTAAACAAACACCATAATGGTATCTCTGAGTATCGACTGACGATTTAGGGAAAGAAAACCTCCTGCACAAAGGCAGGTTCACTGAATGGCACTGTCTGTCTGTCCTGCAGGTTGGCGACATCGTCATGGTCAAGGAGGATGAGACCTTTCCCTGTGACTTGATCTTCCTCTCCAGCAGCCGTGGAGACGGGACCTGCCACGTGACAACTGCCAGCTTAGATGGAGAATCCAGTCACAAAGTAACATGCCTGCCTACATACAGGGCCTTACCTTCCATCCCCAGTTGTGCTTGTGTGGCTAGAAACTACGTTATGTTTGGAAATCCAGTTTGCAGTGAAAACCCAGGGAGTAGTGCTGGCCAGATTGTCTTTGACTTTTATTTCTTTCTCTCGTTTTCTACTTTTTTCCCCCTCCACCTTTTGTATCTGTAACAACCAACCATCTTGAGTTAACACAAGCAACTTCGTGTTATTTATGGAGTTGTGTCATTTAGCAGAGGTGCCAAGTTAAAGATATAATGAATAGATAGTTAAAATTTTGAAAGTTTTCATTTCACCAGTCAAAATTAGTGTGTTTATTACCCTGAAATTATGTGAAAAGTCACACGTGTCCAGATTTTGCCTCACTATTACTTTAGCAAGTGTCTTATTGTTAAAGTATTTTCATAATATCTGAAGTTATAGTTAATTTCTTACATTCAGTATGGAATTCTGTACTGGTAGCTACAAATTTTAATTAACAATCATGAAAGAATAGAATATATCACTATTAATTTTAAGGTTTTTATTATTTAAAAAATATGGAAGCTTCCAAGGAGTTTATAAAAGTGAGCATGCCTCAGTGGATTCAACCATTTCTAAGGCATTAACTCAAAATTGCAACTATAGCACAGTGCTTAAACAGTACCTCTGAATAGAGGCAGTCTCTAGGATGAGAAAGAGAAGTTTTCTTTACAAAAACCCTAAAGGACATGCAAATCTTTTATGGCTAATTCATGAACTCATTGTATAAAGCCCTGTGGGGGTTTTTTTTTTTTTTTGGCATTTACTTTCACATTTTCTATGTAACATATCCCAAGAGAGTTGACATTCTGGCACAAGAAATTGTGAGCAACTGTAATTCTGGGAATGGAAATCCCTGGGTTGGTTGTCAGGTGTTTATTGTAACCTGACACTGGTCTCTGGAGTGTGGGGAGTTGATGTTTCTGTTGTTCCTGGCCATAAACATCTCTAAATCTCCTCGTATCTTTCTGTCTATTTCAACTACTGGACAAATAAACTGTGTAGTAAGTAGATAAAAAACAAGTAGAGCCACACACTCTCTCTCTATAGGCAGTGGGCTGCCCTCCATCCCATCCCACTCGAGGGATGTTGCTGCTCAGGTGTGTCTCAGCATTGCTGTGAACAGATGCTGCAGGCCTCCAGGTGTATCACTCTTTTCAAGTAAAATTTTATAGCAGTCTAGAGCTGCAGGTGGTAGAATCCATGTTTCACTTTGACCTTTGGTGTGTTGTGCTCAGCATCTTAAGTGTCTGCCCTCTGGTGTTAATTCTGTGCATTTGGTTTGGCTTGGGAGCTGAATAAATCTGAGCCCTTTCCTTAAAAGCAGAGTCTCGAGGTGGAACTCCTGCACATTTACTGACCATGTGACTATGGCAGACATTTGATCTCTCTGGAGTTTTCACATCTGTAAAATAAGGACCAACCTCTCTTGTGAGAGCATAAATAGAAAATTGCCCAAAGTGCTTGATACACAATAGATGCCCCTGAAATGTTCTGAATGCAACTGTTGTTCTGTGATTTTATCTCCTGTTCGTTTTGATTTATTGAATACTTTATTTGTCTAACAAGTAATTATTAGAGAGAAAGATAAGAGAAGATTTAGAGATGTATTCTCCTTCACCAGGCCCTCATGCAGGAGTGTTTCTTTCCTCTCTCCTCCCCAGGCGGGCCCACCGGTTCATGCTCACTAATACCATCTGGCCCACTGGTCTCCAAATGGAGTCCCAGACCAGCATAGGCATCACGTAGGATCATGTGAGAAATGCAGTCCTCAGTCCCCACTCCAGACCCATGGCATTAGAAACTCTGGGATGGGGCCTGAGAATTGCATTTCCAGCATGATCCCCGGTGAGGTCCTGGAGTCAGTGCCTTACAAGCCCTGCCTTCAGGTATGAGGAGCCTTCAGGTGGAGGCCAAGTGAGTAGCTATGCAGAAAGCCTACACTACCAAATAGTGTCAGGCAAGGGCAGTTCCTCATGCTGGTGACAACTCTATGACCCAGTAGGGTGTTATATAAACAAAAAGGAATATTTCAACTCTTAAATTTGTTTCCAAATTGATAGTCACCACCATGGACAATAAATTGAGGTATCCAATTTTGAAGAAGAATTCCCACATTGCTATTAGTTTTAAGTTAAGTTTTAGTTCTGGGTAAGAATGGAAGAACTTTCTGGCACCTAATAGATATAGGAATAGCAGTAGTAATCTATCATTCTATAACTTTGTAACATTTGCAAATTTTTTATTATACTTCTCTCATATGCTAACCAGCCGTTGTCATTGGTCTTATTTATATGCACACAAATTTAGGTGTTGGTGCTGCCCTAGGATTGGAGGCATTGGCTGCGAGGTTTGTGATGCTCATTTTGTTGTGAATTCACATTTCTTGTCAATCTGTAGACACATTATGCAGTTCAAGACACAAAGGGATTTCATACTGAAGAAGATATAGATGGCCTACATGCTACCATTGAGTGCGAGCAGCCTCAGCCTGACCTCTACAAGTAAGCCAGAGCTATGTTCCTCCTAAGTATCTCTTTATCTCCTAATCATTGTTCTTGCTCTCCACCTCAAATAGTCTACCCGCGTAGCTGTTTGGAAAGAGAATGTAAATCACTACTTAAAAATTAAGACCAAGTTAAAAATAGGTTACTTACATATTTACAGAGTCCCAACAACATTTAAATCTATAGCTACTTATACAAACATTAGAAGTGGATTCATGGAAGTAATTTGTTGCAGAAAAAATTATTTTCTGTATTTTGAGGGAGCGATTTTACGGAAAATCATTTAAGTCATGGGTTAATAAGAATAGAAAGTAAACTAAGAAAAGGGGAGGAAGGTAGAGTGGTTCAGCTACACATGGATGTGCTTTGTGTCAAGAATTCCAAGTCATAAGTGCATATTTCCTTCTTTCTTAGGAACAGAAGGCGGGTGTGTAGGACAGGGCACTTCCGGGCTGCCTCTCCCACCCATGTTGCTGCCATGTCAGTAACCCGACTTTTCTGTTGCCAGGTTTGTGGGCCGCATAAATGTTTACAACGATCAAAATGACCCCGTGGTGAGGTGAGGCGATGTGCTTCTTCTGAACATTCCTGGAGATAACATCTCTTTATTCTAAATTATAATAGCCTTTTTACTGAGACGAAGTTTTCATTGTTGTGTTCTGTTGGGTGTTGACAGTGGAATTCGAGTTTTCCAGAAGTCCAGGTTCTAGTGTTTTCTGATTTCTCTGGTGTCTACAGCTGTATGTGTTAACAAATTAATGCCACTTGTGGCAAATGTTCTCTCACAAGATTCTGCTGAGGATCTTCTCACAGCAGGGAAAGTTTAGGAGCCCATCTAACAGTTTCAAGGCAAAGAGGAGGGTATGGTTTCCCCCGTTAGAAATTCCCTTTCAGGACTTATAGACAAGTATGTCGTCAACTATGAAGTTGAAAGATGTCTGGCATGGAAGCTCTTTTATTGGAATGTGTGAATCTACTCATAATCATTAGAGGGATACATTTTTGGCCAGGATTTCATCTAGACTTAGGGGATGTGCCTCGAAAGGGCCTGTCCCAGGCTCACATTCACTTGTTGTCCAAGCATTGGTTGTTACTGGTGCAGGTCACAGGTGGGTGTGCTCCTGCTTGTGGTCAGGACAAACGTGATCTACTGTCATCTAGCCCATGTCTCTCTGGGTTGGTGCTGTATGCTCCTTAGGCCTGTGGATGATTCATCTGGATATTGTTGCAAGGTCCTGGCAGTTCTCTGCTGCAGAGGGATTTGTAATCCACAGTTTAGGAAATTGACTCTAAGTAGGTTTAGAGGTTGACCTTTTTTGTAAACCTCACTTGTTAGAGAAATTATCTTACTTCCAATTTACGCAGTCTTCAAGTTGCCTATATCCTGTATTTGTTTTTTTTATAAAGATTACCCAGAAGTGGAAATAAACTCAGTGGGATAGTGCCACAAAATAATAAGTACTGAAATATAATATAATAATTACTGAAATATAATTTGTTGGGGCTTATCACCATGTAAGGCTCCTGGAATGATTTAAGGAAACAATTTGTACACTTAGCATGTTTTTATCAGCATTGTTTATCAGCTGGTTAGTTGGTGCTTTTTTGAATTTATGTAGGCGTTGTCATGGTCTTTTCTAAATATATATTAGTCTACAGGTAATTTCTGGTTACTTTGGAGAAATAACCTGTATTTCTGGGTCTTGTGAGAATTACTGTCTGAACAAGTAATAGATTAAGATTTATTCGTATTGCTGATGGAATGAATCTGAAAAAGTAAACACTGCAGTCTTTTTATGCTTTATATTTAGACAAAGTTTGATGCTGAGCAGATTGGAAAGATAATTACTAATACATTTTGTATTTTGATAGCAATTCTAGTTTAGCTTTTCATGCATTTACATATTTCAGACTTTTAATATTTGGGTACTTAAAGATGTTTGTGGTGTGGACAGTTATGAATTATATATCTAAGTTCTTAATCTATTCAGGGTAATATTTCTTCATCCTCTTGTCCAAACTGGAAGCAAAGTACATTTTAAAGTAAATTATTTTTAGACTTCCCAGAGCCACATTTTAAGGGGGCCATTTGTTTTCATGAGCACATTCAACATGAATTATTGTTAGAGTGTAGCTCACAGAGGCCGACAGTACTTAGAATATAGCCAGGCAGCAGCCAATGTGTGGCCCCTGAAGCTCTTGTTCATGGCTGTCGGGCTGAGGGCTGAGGGCTGAGACCATCAGACAGCCCTGGGTGGACACGTTAGGTCAAGTGCATCTCAGGCAACTCTTCACTCTTAGCAGCCCCCTCTTTTTCTTGACTTCAGCTGGACACAGTCCTGCGTTATGTCAGCTAAATATACTGAACATCTTTTAAGTTTATAGCATTCAGTAGTTTCTCACCTTTTTGCTTTTCCAGAACATTTGGGGGTCCTCCAGTCCAGTGGTCCTCAAACCTGACACCTGTTAGGAGCAGGTTTCTGGTTCAGTCTGTCAAAGTGACTCTTCTGACAAGTTCCAAGGTGCAGCTGCTGATGGCACTTGTGCCAGGACCCCATTTGTTAGCCTACCACCCTCACAAGTGATCAGTTATAGAATCTAGTTAAAACATTCAGACCTGGCTCGGTAGGTTTGGATGGGGCTGGGAGCCTGCATTCCTAACAAGTGCTGTACCAGGATAGCAGGTACTCACAAAGCTAGAACTCTGCAGAATTCTTCCAGCAGAGCAGGTTCTTAACCTCCCACAGGCAAAGATCACACACATGTGGACCCAGGCTAACTCTTCTAATCTAAATATAAGCAAATCTACATTTAGACTATTTTCTGTTAAAATGAAATCTGTTAGGCAAATGAATTGATTTTCACCCTGTAGCATGGCTTGCTGTGAATTCTCCATCGCCCTGTTTTTGATCATTCTTGTCTTTACAGGCCATTAGGATCGGAAAACTTGCTTCTTAGAGGAGCCACGCTGAAGAACACTGAGAAGATCTTCGGTAAATGTTCAGATTAGTGAATTATTAGTAATAGCCTCTAAAATTAAGGGTACGTTAAGTAATTAAAATAGTAGTACCATGAAAGTATATTTGTACTTGAGGTACTGTGGACTTTACTGTGGACTGGATGCAGCAATAATTCTGCCTCACTAAGAAAATCTGTATTAATGTATAACCACAATCCATACAGCAATGGCATCTGAGCGTATTGCTTGTATATTAAGTGCCTGTAGTATTTGACTTGGAAACATAAAGTTAATCCATGAAAGAATTCACACGGTATATTTGTAACAAATTTTTTTCTGGTGGCTGCGTTTCTTTGTTAGTATTTTCCATTTTTTTGGTGGGTTTTTTGTGTTAATTAAAACGCGACAACTTAAATAGAACAAGTGTGTCCTTTTGTAGGAAAACCCAATTTATTAAAATCTGAACTTTAAAAAAATGACAAGTTGTTCTCTATATAGGAAATAAAAAATATTTCTTTAATCTAAAGAGTCCTGTTGTGTGACTCTCAAGGAAATTAAAAGTATAATTTGTTTTATCCAAAATTCCATTTTTATCACAGCTGTTAGTAACTCACTATGTAAAGGAAAATGCAGTTGTGTTATTGGTCTGACATTTATTCTTCTACTTTACAGGTGTTGCTATTTACACGGGCATGGAAACCAAGATGGCGTTAAATTATCAATCAAAATCCCAGAAACGATCTGCCGTGGAAAAGTAAGGTTCAGTTTGTTGTTCGAAGTGTGTAAAATTCTGTGACTTAAAACTATCCCAAACCACTGTAGATAAGAAAACATTTTTCTTTTGGCCTTATTAGGAATTCCTTCATGGTGTCTAGATAAACAGTAGAGCTGATTACTTAGATCAACTGTCTTATTTTGTGGGGACACAAAGTCCCAGTTCGAAGTCATTTGCAGTTGCCCAAAAGCTCCTCCCACCATTTCATGAAAAAGTCAAAATAGGGTCCTATTTATTTATTTATTTATGTATCCTCACCCGAGGACATTTTTGTATTTATCTTCAGATAGAGCAGCAGGGAGAGAGGGAGGAAGAGAGAGAGAAACATTGAGTGGTTGCCACCCACACGACCCCAACCGGGCCGGGGACAAACTTTAACCGATGTACACGCCCTTAGCGGGAACTGAACCTGGGCCTCTATGCTCCATGGGCTGACGCTATAACCACTGGGAAAAACTGGCCAGGGCGAAATAGGGTCATTTTTTTAAAAAAATTTTTTTCCTTTACTGATTTTTTAGAGAGGAAGTGAGAGGTAGAGAGAGATAGAAACATTGATGAGAGAGAACATCCACTGGCCACCTCCTGCATGCCCCCCACTGGGGATCTGGCCCACAACCTGGGCATATGCCCTGACCAGGAATTGAACCAGTGACCTCTTGGTGGATGGGTCAACGTTCAACCACTGAGCCACTCTGGCCGGGTCAAATAGGGTCATTTTTAATTTTTGGTGTTGAAAGCCACATTTTACTGAGGAAAGCATTAGCAGAGAGAACAGAGGTTTTTTTTATTAAACTATAAAATCTTTATAAAAATAAGTCAAGGACTCCTGGCTGATGTGGTTCAGTTGATTGGGCCCGGTTCGATTCCCAGTCAGGGCACATGTCAGGTTTCAACTCGATCCACTGTAGGGGATGTGCAAGAGGCAGCCAATGGATGTTCCCCTCTCACATTGATGTTTATCTCTCTCTCTCTCTCTCTCTTCGCCTTTTGGTAAAGTGTATCCTTGACTTGAAGTGGATCACTGGGTGATGACAATGATTTAACAAAGAGCTGTGTGCCACTTTGGATGAAGACTGTTAGGGTGCCTTCTGCCTACACTTGAAATGCCAGTCTTGAAATGTGATCCTGGGTCCCTGTCTGTCTCTGGCTACATCAAATACAAAAATGCAGATTTGGCTCTTAAACTAGAACGCTTTGTTTCCAGATGTCTAGATTGACAAATAGCCTTCAGAAAGAGATTTTGGAAAATTACACTTTCTTCACAAGATCGGCTAAGGCATTGGCTAAGGACTCAGCATTATTCTTACACATGGAGCATTTCCTTTAGTGTTGACTTCTCTCTTTCTCTCCTTCTCTCCTTCCTTAGTGGGGGTAGTCTCTAAATTTGGAACTCATTGGTTGATGCTTAATGGTAGAAGAAATTGATTTCTGGATGTTCCTTAAATGACAGAATCCTGGACCATGCAGCAATCCTTGTCAGCAATGCAGTTGTGTGGAGTTCTCTCTCCTGTTTACAAAACTTTCCCTTTACTTAGCTGTTTCCTTTGTGACATCTAGAATCACATGCCAGTGACCATGGAGGAGACTCTGATAGATAAGAGCTTACCTTATTATTTTCACTGTCAGTTGACTGGGGGAGGAGGTCTGTTTTTGTTGTTAATCCTCACTTGAGGATGTTTTTTACATTGTGTTTTTTTTTTAAGAAAGTGGAAGGGAGGGAGGGAGCAGGGAGAGAAGACAGTGACAGAGACATCGATGTGAGAGAGACACATTGGTTGCTTCCCACACTGGGTATGAGGATTGAACCTGCAACCCAGGTATGAGCACTTGACTGGGAATTGAACCCAAGATCCTTTGGTGCGTGGGCTTACATTCTAACCACTGAGCAAAACTGGCCAGGGCAGGGGGCAATCATTTAAACTCATTGCTTTGCTATTCCTAATCTGTTTTGTCAAAATGTGTTCATCTTGACACACAGATGTACACCTCTCAATTCTTCAGGGAGCAATCACTAAGTAACCATCGCTGTCTCGTGTTTTAGATCAATGAATGTATTCCTCATTGTGTACCTCTGCATTCTAATCAGTAAAGCGCTGATAAATACTGTCCTGAAATACGTATGGCAGAGTGAACCATTCCGAGATGAGCCGTGGTATAATCAGAAAACCGAAGCAGAAAGACAGAGGAACCTGGTATGGAAACTCATTTCCTTTATAGTGGTCACAGATGCCCTGCAGGCTGTTATTATGAAAATGTGTTCATGAGAACATGATCCTATAATTGATTAAATCTTTATATGCATGCACTGATATTGCAAGTATCAATAGCCTCTCTAACTGTAGATACTGGTTACTCTTGCCTTCTTCTTTGGGTATTTGAATATACATGTCTGGAAAGGTATTGGTTCCCATAGTAAATTCATATGGATGTACCTTAAATGCCTTTGGTGTTTCCAGAACCCAGAGCAGTGTCCCATATTTAGAGGGTGTTCAGTGAATGCTCATTAATGATTGTGAGGTAAATGGTACTTACTTAGGGTAAGTATATGGAAAAAAGGGGAATCTCAATTATATGGATATTAGGGTAAGAATTGGTTTCATTTTTCTTAGGAGGATTTCAATTCAGTTACCCATGTTTATCAAAAGTATTTTTCCCAAAACCAGTATATTAAAATAATTTGATTGCAACTCTTCTAATTAAAACAGTATAGGTTTCTGGTTGGACCCACTGAGTCCAGACCTGAGCCATGTGCAATCTCTACACGTGTCCACTCACTACAGAGTGGGCTGTGCAGAAATCCGGGTCAGTGTCTACTCAGTGCAGAGCTGAGCTGGGTGTAAAGGCCATCCAGGGCCCACTGAGTTCAGACTGGGGCTTTGTGCAAGTCCAGACTAGGGTCCCTACTTCTTTCTGTGTTATTTGGGCCTCCCATAAAACCAAATGGCTTAGATATAAGGACAAACCTATATTAAAACATCATTTGTACCAGACTGATATTTTTGGCATTTATGGGTTATTACAAAGTCAGTTGATCATTTGTCAGTCTCAAAGGTAACTTAGAATATCAAAATGTAAAGTTTCCCACTGACTCTCAGCTGGGAGACCTCCTGTCTCCTGACAGAGTGACTGTCTTAACAGGTGGCTTAATCCTTACCCACTGCAGCCCTGAGGTTGCTGCAACTCTAACAGTTATTCATTGGCTGATGCAGCCTCTGAATAAAACTTATCTTTGGATTGGAAATACTTGTATTTAGAAATTGCTCTCGTGTGTTTTGTACCAAGTTTTAAATGGTTATGATGTTGGTATGGGACGTAGGAAATCACGCAGTGTTCTTTCAGTTTCTCAGGGCATTCACGGACTTCCTGGCCTTCATGGTTCTCTTCAACTACATCATCCCTGTGTCCATGTACGTCACAGTGGAGATGCAGAAGTTTCTTGGCTCGTATTTCATCACATGGGATGAAGAAATGTTTGATGAGGACATGGGTGAAGGGCCCCTGGTCAACACCTCAGATCTAAATGAAGAGTTAGGACAGGTCAGTGTCTCAGTTGTCTTTCATACCTTTGACGATTGAATCTCTTCATTTTATGTTCCCAGGTATCTAGATTCTAAATGGTTCTTATCATGTAGGCAGATCATCCAGATGGTTAAAAGACGTTTCTGTTTTAGTTCCTGCAGAGAGATAGAACCTTTAATTGGGGAAAGAGAACAACAAAATCATTTTTTTTTTGTATTGTTTTGTTTTTACTTTGTGTGACAGTTGGCAGCACTTTTATATTTAAAATGTATACAATATTAATTATATTAACTGGTTGATGTAAGCTCATCTATGACCTAAATGGTGCTCATTCTGGGTAAAAGTGAGCTAACATTTATTGAATACTACTTCATAAACATTACACTCAGCTTTGATCCATGATTTTCTTCAGTTCTGTCAGTGAACCAGTTCTCATTTTAAAGATGAGCAAAGTGAGACCCCAGGGAGTTTCAATAGCCTGCTGTATTGCAGAGTTCAAAATACCTGCATTGCAGTCCTGCTTCACATTGATAACTTCATAGCCTGGGACAGGTAGCATGAGCTCTGTGCACCTCAAGCTTCTCACTCTGTAAAATGGGTGTAATAACAGGTACCTGCCTTGCCAGAGTGTAGGGATTGAATGAGATAATGGAGATGAGGAATCTACCACAGGGTCTTATGAAACCGCCATGGATGGAGTCACTGCCACCTGGATGAGGGGCAGAGCCCATACTTGGGAGAGGCCTGTACCCCTAACCTTGCCTTGGTCCTCTGGCCTGTAGTGGGAGCCTTCCTGCCACCCCTAGTCTAACCTTTTCCCAGCCTTTATGTTGCAAGAAAGAGCATTAGGTAAATGCTAATTTATTTATTTTTTAACAGGAAGTAATTTTGAGTAGTAATTTTGGAAACAGAGCTATTTTAGACAAGTAGCTAAAATACACTCCCTTGTGGCCCAAAACAGCAATCTGTAAATAGGTGGTTAGGCTCTGATAGACACATACTGCTTTATCCCCTCAGGGCAAGGATATGCCTTACTAAAAGATAATATTTAGCTTGTTCATGAGTTTGACCTTCAGTGCATCCCTCTAGGACATTCCACACCCCTCATGGTGCAGTGCTGGCTTAGTCAGCAATGCGCAAATCATAATTCAGTGCTCAGTACTAGAATACCTTTACCTCCATGGAGTTCATATTCTTTCGATAATAAATGGTATATTTTGTATATTCCTCAGAAATTCATGGAGGAAAGAATTTTTTCTGTAACAAGAAAAATGTAGAGCTGTGTTCAGTACAGCAAATTATTGTGACTGAGAGTAACTCTGAGGTTGACTTTATGACACAGGAGCTCCAGGGGTTTGTGGAAAGGCTTGTTTTCGAGGAGGAAACATTGTGAAATATTTATTATGAGTGTGGATCCTCACTTTGAAAAAAGTCGGGTATTGCCCTGGCCCGTTGGGCTCAGCAGTTAGAGCAACCGCCCATGGACTGAAAGGTCATAGATTCCATTTCTGGTCAAGGGCACATACCTGGGTTTTGGGTTCGATCCCTAGCCCTGTTCAGGGTTGTGCAGGAAGCAACCAATTGATGTGTCTCTCACATTGATGTTTCTTTCTCTCTCCCTTCCACTCTACCTAAAAATCAATGGAAAAGTATCCTCTGGTGAGGATTAGCAAAAATTAAAAAAAAAAAATTGTTAGGTATCGTTCACTTCAAACAGCATAGCTGTTTGTGCTAGGGAGTGGTCTCGAATGTGGACCTGATTCATGTAGCCACATGGTCAGGATCACGGGGAATCTCAGTAGAGTTTTGGGCAGCATTTGAATGGCAGATAAAAAAAAGTATTCATGAAGCATTACTTTGTCTTACCTGTTACCTGTTAGAGCCAAGCACACATGGAAAAGGCATTTTCTGTGGTGGGATTTATGACAAAAATGGAACATTTTTCTGAGAGACCTATAGGTCTTTTATTATTATTATAGGTCTTTTCTGCTTCCCACACATCTGTACTTTATAATCATTTTAAACTCTACTTCTGTGTCCTGTGTGTTGGAGGGACTGAGCCTGGACTCAGCACCTTGGGCCTCCTCCTATTCTTGGCCCTCGGACCAGAGGGTCTCTGACAGCAGGAGGCTCACACGCTCCTGGCAGCCTTCTCACCATGTTACATGGGTGCTAGAAATCCCCACCTTCCTTCGGTTATCCATGAGGAATACAGAATCCGAGTTCACCTCAATTTAGTGTTTAAACCAGGTATAGTTTTAGCACTTTTTTCAGTTTTTTATCTGAAATGTGTTTTGTTCTTTTATTTGTTTGAATTATATCCTCTAAACCTTACATGATATTGTGATTTCTGACCTCCCAGACCTTTCAGAATAAGTTTATTATATTTATATCCTTGAGTTGTTTGTTAGACAAGACTTAGGTCTATGCTCTCATCCAACCACTGGAAGGCTGGCTCCACCCAACATTTCTATTCAGGTCAGGAGACTAAGAGGATGTGTTCTTGGAGCTCTGCATCCAGGGTAAAGTAAAACTACCTCTATTCTGGCGAGAGTGAAGGCCCCCCTCTACCTCCGGAGTCAGGCTCTGTCGGGACTGCTCAGCCACTCAAGCCAGGGGAGGATGGGTTGTCCAGATGCTCATAGGTGAGCCTGGTGAACCCATGTGCTTGGGGTAAAACCTGGAGTCTGTTTTGTATGGAAACCATTGGTGTTAGGAAGCACCGCTGCCCTGGGGTCTGAGCGGCGAGCCGCTCCTTCTCCCTCTCTGAGAAGGGTATGCCTTTCGGGCCAGCACCACCCAGCCAAGCCTTGTGCCTGCAGGTGGAGTACATCTTCACAGACAAGACTGGCACCCTCACGGAGAACAACATGGAGTTCAAGGAGTGCTGCATCGAGGGCCACATCTATGTGCCGCATGTCATCTGCAATGGGCAGGTTCTCCCTGGCGCTTCCGGCATCGACATGATTGACTCTTCCCCGGGGGTCAGTGGGAAGGTAGGTGGCCACTCTCCCAGCAGGTGTTTTCCCTTTAGGGACCAACACTGTCACACTGTCCCAGTTCACAGGGTAGGCTGGGATCCAGGAAAGACATGAATCTTCCAGTGACTTGAGTGAGAAGAATGGTGAGATACCAACATTTCCCACTAGTGACTCTGGCCTGTCACCTTGTCTTAGGAACAGCATTAAACATGTGGACAAACTGGGTAGGCTGTGAGCAAAGTGACCTGCATACCACACGTGCTTGTGCTATACACATGTTCACACTCATGCTCAAGCATGCATGTATGAGCTCACACGCACATGTGTACACATAGAGAAGACATGCCCCATACTCACACATGCATGCATGTACTTGTAGACATACATGTGCACACGTAGATATACCCCACACACACCAAGTGCTTTGGCTTCAGATCTCAGCATTTCTAGGAGGAAGCTGTGACCTTCATCATTTGTCAGCCAGGAGATCATTGTAGAAAGCCTGGTGACTGCCAGTCCCTGTGTGGTGTCCTCTAGAGCACCAAGGATAGCCTGCCTTTGTAGGCTCTATTGTGACAGCCTGTTGTGACCACGTGAACCATACCCCCCACTACATATGCTTCAGGTGATTTCAGTACAGAAACCGCCATTTCATCGCAGTCTGAGAGGAGAGGGGCAGGTGTCTGTGGCTTTGTAAGGTGTTCCATAGGCACTGCACCCTCTTGCCACCTGCTGGACTCCCCCTGCCTGGCACATGTGATGAAGTCCAGCCCTTCTTGGCCCCCCTCAGCTATGGTGGCATTCCAGAACCCCTAAACAAGCTTTCTGGAATCCCAAGGGAATCCAGGCTCATGGAGGTCCTACAGTGCTGCCTCAACTGGTCTGAGGCTCCACCTCACTGTGTTCTTCTCTTGTGACGAACCCGTCACCTCATCTCACTGAACATTCATTTTCTTTCAGTCTTCATAGCCCATTGGTCTTGACCCTAACTGCCGTAGAAGTGCTCAAGAAGGAACAAAAGCCAGTTACACTCTACTTTCTGACCACCAAAGGCAAAACTAATACTTCCTAACCAGTAAAAGTTGCATGTCCTGCTTTATTGTTTATTGTCTTTTGTTTAATTTCCTTCTCCTTTATGCTGATATGCCATAGATGTGCGGGTTTTTGTACTGCATTTTTATAGGAGCGAGAAGAGCTGTTTTTTCGGGCCCTCTGTCTGTGCCACACCATCCAGGTGAAAGATGACGATGACGTGGACGGGCCCAGGAAGTCACCAGACTCGGGGAAATCCTGTGTGTACATATCATCCTCGCCCGATGAGGTGGCCTTAGTGGAGGGTGTCCAGAGGTACGTCTCTGGCTGCATGCGAGTCTGGTCTCAGATGTGAGGGGTATGCCAGGCTGGTCCTGGAGTTCTTTTCAGCCCCAACAATGTATTCCTACTGGACTCCCATTGTAAGTGTCCTGAGTCAGGCCCCTGTGCCTGGGATGCTTGCTAAGGGATGAGCTGAGCAAGGACTAGCTTTGTGCCCATTGTTTCCTCGACCTCCGTGTTGGTAGAGGTGGGTCCCTCCTGAATACAGCCTGCCATCAGCGAGAGAAGCAGCTTGTCCCCAGCTGCCAGGGTGTTTGTCACTGTCTTACAGGCTAGTTTTTGCTCCTCACTTCTTTAATAGAAGGTTAGAGGCCATTCCCAATAATCACAGGCTTTTAAAGATGCAAACAATCTTAGACACCCTTATGAAAGACTTCCTCATTTATCCTAAAGAACTGACGCCCAGAGATGTTAAACAACTTTCTCCAAGTCCCACAACATGGAATGGGATTGAGCTGGGTGCTGGAGTTTTCTTACCATTAGCTTCTCTTTCTTTGTATTCCATCATATTAAATCATATTAAATCCATGTGCGTGTTGCACCCTCCTGCAGTATCTTTTTACTGGGAGTTCTCCCAGTTGGTGCCTCATGACATGGCATTTAAGCAAACACTTGGAGGAATACTTTAAATATTCCAGATACGTGGCATAATTTCAAATCAAGGGAAATGTTTTTCTAATTGTCACAGCTTACAATCCAAATTTAACACTAACTGTACTAATCTTCCCTCTTCGCTGCCATTGAGAAGTGGGCGTTGAACACCTCTCATCTAATTAGAACAGTGATTTATTGTTGACTAAACTAATGTATGTTTCCCATGCAATTTGAATAGTGATAGCAGGTATGTAAATTCTATCACTTCACACCCAATTAAATGTATAAATCCACACATACGTATGGGAGATTTCTCAAAACTAGATTTCTCTCTTCTTGGAAAACAAGTGTTCAGAAATTAAGCCATGTTCAGTCATAGATATCTGAAGTTAGGACAGGCTGCTGCTGCCTGTCATTCTAGACGTACCTTCCAAGAAGCCTTTCTTTCAGCTGCCCTCCAGCTCCTGCCTGGGTCAGGTCCCCAAGGTCCCATAGCACCTTCATAACATAATGGCTCCATGCTATATTAGATTGATATGTTTCCACCTCCCGTATCTGTAAGCTCCTGGGGTCCAAAAGCCACGCCCTTTTCCTCCTCGCACTCCCAGCACGAGCCCGAACAGTACATGACACTATGTGATGTTTGCTGGTGGAGGAGGGTATTACAGATTCAGGGTTGTGCAGATGTTTGTTGACTGGCAGCCTGCTCTGGGCGTTAGTGACCTCATCAATGAAATGAGAGTTGGTCTAGAGATTGACAGTCACTCAGGGGCCTTCTATTTCTGACATTCTACTAAACAACTCCACTGATCAGTAAAAGTGGGTCAGTATGGACAAGGACCAAGCCACAGACCTACTGTCTTTCTGGAACCTGTTGATACCTACCAATTTGAATGTACCTCATCGATATGGTACTTGGGAGGGTAAGTCAGAAATTCTTTAGTTCTTGGAGAATTTTTTCAGATGGTGAATAAATTCAGTATTGTAATTTCCTAAGTTTGTAATTCAGTTTACTACCTCTGGTTTACCAGGAGTATTTCTTTTTTGAAAAGAAAGCTTTAACAGAATATATATATATTTGATGAAAGAGGAATATCAAAATTAACCACTGGATTTGCCTTCTTTGCAGACTTGGTTTTACATACCTAAGGCTAAAGGATAATTACATGGAGATATCAAATAGGGACAATGACATTGAAAGGTAAGGCTACTACACATTAAATTGTGATGGTAATAAAGAATTGTTTTTGCAATGTTTTTTCACTGGGAGAAAAACCAAATTCTCTGTAATCCTCCCATAACTCATTCCCCTCTTCTTCTCAGTAACCATCCCAAGAATGTCACAAACATCTGGAGAATTTAAGAGTTGGACAGTTAGGGGAGAAGCTGGTTGGATGGTGTTGCATCATTAAAACTATTTCGGGTTAAGTCATCTTCCAGTGTGTTCTAACACTCCCCCAGCCACTCTGAATCTCCATGATGGGGAGGAAGTAAGCAGCTCCCAGGTCATGGAGCAGTGTCTGCTAGAAAACAGTCTGAGAAGCATGCTTTGGAATAGCAGGCTGGACATGGTTCCACTTTTCAAATCTTTAGTGCCCACATGCTTTTGTTTCTTAGAAACTGTCAAAAATCACTGGTCCCATACACAAAGGGCATATCTTGAATTTAGACTTGGAAGATTAGGTAGTCCTTCTTTCCTTTATAAATAAAAATAAACATGCAGGAATGGATACAGGCAAAGACAGGTGGTAAAAAAAACATAAGACTTAGTGGTGATGGCTTCAAAAATCTGAATTTAAAAATTTTCTTCTTTCAAAAAATGAACTCCCAGGTTAGTGGAAGTGGTGAACCCTTTGACTCCAGAACTGGTTGCTGGGTCCTAGATTTGCACTGCAGGGGTTTCTCTGCATTGCTGGTGGCTTTCTAGAAGTTGTGAGGTCACCCCTGAGCAACTGGGGGTGCAGAGTGACAATTTGCTGTCAAGTTTCTAGTTTGCAACCAAAAAGGCAGTTGCCACTGAAATTATACTGTACAACACAGTGCTGCTGAGGAATTCACAGGGAACCCTTTTCCCAGTGGGGGGGATAAAGAAACTTTCCTTTACCTGTCTGGGTTCTTCCAGCTGGTCTACTAAACAGATTAACAGGAGAAAATAACCAAATTTAACTACATATGTATGTATGGGAACACTACATACATGAGAGAGTTAGAGACACTCCCCCAACTCTGCTCTAGAGATAGAGAGGGAAAGTGAGGTATATGTGATTCTAGAGCCTTAGGGGAGGTCATTTGCAGGATGGTAGGAAGAGCAGATGTTCAGTAGATGTTTACCTTGCCATATACTATGTTGTGATGACCCCCAACCACAAAATTATTTTCGTTGCTACTTCATAACTATAATTTTGCTTCGGCGACCCCTGTGAAAGGGTTGTTCTACCCCCAAAGGGGCCATGATTCCACAGGTTGAGAAGCGCTGCCATATAGATAGGTCATAAAAAGTTATCTCTGGTGATGGCTCTTATTATTATCTTTTTAATCCTCACCCGAGGATATGGTTTTTTAAAATTGATTTTCAGAGAGAGAGAAATAGAGAAAAACACTGATGTGTGAGAGAAACATTGATTGGTTGCCTCCTGTATGCACCCTGACTGGGGATCGAACCCACAACTCTTTGGTGTATGGGACAACGCCAGCCAGCCGAGACCAGGGCTGGTCATAGCTCTTATTATGGGCAAGGCCCCTAATTTAAATGAAGGGAAAGGTAAAAGATTCTCGTGAGCCTGCAGGTTTTCGATTGTCTTCAGCTCACAATAATCCACATGCCAAAGTGGCACGTCTTGGGCAGGCCGGTTCTGAGCCCTTTCATCAGCTTGTGAGTGGGGACTGATGTCACAGAAATTTCGTGGTCACTCTTGAGCCGCTGGCAGGAGTCTGTAGACCAGCGCTTCTCAACCTTTGGGGGTTGAATGACTCTTTCACAGGGGTCGCCTAAGACCATCGGAAAACACATATTTCCAGTGGTCTTAGGAACCAAGACACCGCTCCTCTATTTATCTCCAGGCGGGTCCCCCCTATGTGCAGACACGCCCACATACCACATGAGGAACTGTATTAAAGGGTCCGGCATTAGGAAGGTTGAGAACCACTGCTCTAGACCTTAAGGAGTTTTTAGAGGTAATGTCAGGGGTGGCTGAACTATTTTCAGTATTTCAAACACCAGACAAAAATCATGAGTCTTCTGATAATAAGACTGCACAAACTGATTAAATGTCATTATTCTTTGCTTTTTAAATGATTTTTATCAACTTTAGGACACTGGTTTATTCTCAGGGATCAAAAGCTCTGATATAACCTGTGGGTCTGTGTTCAACAGAATTTTCTAAAGTGAATCAGCACCTAAGACATATAGTTTGTTTGATGCACAAACTCCGCAAGCACTTGTGATGCAGGCTGGGGGTGGAAGGTGGATGTCCAAGGCGAAGGTCTTAGTGGTGAGGAGATGAGAGCCTGGCCTCAGCCTCCCTCTATCCCCTCCCTACAGGGCAGTGGTGCCAGCAGCAAGGAGCAGAGTCACCAGTCACCGGAAATCCACACACTCCCTTGTGTCTGTGGAGGAGATCACCCCACCTCTAGATTCCTCCTTGAAAAAGCTGCTGGACAGCCATGCCCTCCATGGAGAGGTGGGGGTGGGGATGAGTGGAGGTGATGTTTCTGCAAGGCCTGGGCTTGGTGGGGAGAGGACTACTCCAGACACTGCTCTGTGGAAAGGCTGCTAAATACCCAGATTTCATGACATACAGAGCCAGATGGGTATTGAAGAGAATTTTTCATCTTTTTTTCAGGTTTGAATTGCTGGAAATTTTGAGCTTTGACTCAGTAAGAAGGAGAATGAGTGTAATTGTAAAATCTGCTACAGGTAGACATTTCTTTTTCTTTAATTTCTTAAATTATGCATTGTGGTTTTATTCTGATGCTTACATTCTTTAGGAACTTTAAAGATTTTGCCATTTATTCTCTTTTTTAGAAAAAAAACATAGATGAATCAACTGTAGGTCACAACTTCTCACACCACCTGTAGGTGACGTAACTCCACTTGGTCATGTTCCTGTTGCTTTCCCAGGCACCTTAGTCTGACTGGTTTCCCCCCGACTATAAGTCCTGCAGAGTATACCTCCACAGTGTCTCTTCATCCCCCTTCTTTCTGTCCTGACGCACAGCTCCTGCTTTCGAAGGTCTTTGTCTGCAGTCTCTTCCTTTCTGTCACCCTGCCCCATGTCAGTCTTCTTAAGACCTCCGAATGCTCACTGTCCTCGCTGGGCCTGGTGGGCTCTGTTCTCTGTCAGGCAGCCACAACTCCCCGGGGTTTTTTCATTGAGGCGCTGAACTGCCTTCCTAGCTTTCATTCCCCAGAATGCACTGCACGGACTTTCTACCTGGTGTGGGCTTTTCTACCTCATGTGGGCTTTTCTACCTGGAGGCTCTTTACCTGGTGGGGACTTTTCCACTTGGAAGCCCTCTTGCTCGTTTGTACCTTTCCACAGACAGCTCCTCAGCACCTGATAAGAAGCCTGTTCTGGTTGCCTCAGTCAGATGCGCTGTTTGTCTTCTGACTGGCTGGACTACAAGCACCCTAAATGCAGAACTTACTTTTCTCAGCAGGATAGCACCACAGCACTACTACTGACTGCTCAGTAAATAGTGCTGAATTCAGTTTACCAATGCAATTTCAAAATGGCATTTTATCAACAGATGTGGAATCTTATTCTTTTTGGTTCTTAAATCTAGGCCATCCCAGACTGTGTTTATCTCTTTGGAAAGTTGCCGGGTGAGCAACCAAATGCAGTCACTAGCCTAGAACTAAACACATTCAGCCTTAAAATAGTGATCTGAGGGCAGGTTGGGGAATTTTATGTCAGCTCATAAATAACACTCATGTTGAGAGAATTTCCTTTCAGTGGGAAGTAAACAAAGTACCTTTTAAAAAAAAAAATGTTTTTACTAATTTTTAGTGAGAGGAAGGGAAAGGGAGAGAGAAATAGAAATATCGACCAGCTGCCTTCTGTACGCCTCCCACTGAGGATCGAGCCTGCAACTTGTTCATGTGCCCTGACCAGGAACCGAACTGGTGACCTCTTGATCCATGGGTCATTGCTCAACCACTGAGCCACGCTGTCTAGGCCAAAGTACCTTTTCTTAAACAGAGTCATTCTGACCTTCTTCTGATAGAACCAGCAATACCTTCTTTTCTTGTCTAAGACCATGGAGGTTGCTGAAGGCATATCTTTCAGCAGCACCCTGTAAGTCATTTTCAAGGAGTTGAGTTCCACGTGCTGGATAATTAGCCTGGTGACAGTGCCCCGGCTGCCCTGTGAGCTGTGCTGGCTGTCGCAGAACTGGTTCTCTTATCCACATGCTCTCCTTACCTCTGAACCAGGTGATCAGACATGGATAAGAGTGGGCTCCACCAATGAGACTTGCCTTAAGTGTCATGGGATATAAAATAATTTAAAAGTATGGAAACAGAGACTTTACCAGTAGGATCAGCAGGACACGAGAAGCATACACCCCATGATATTTGAAACAAGTTCAGATTGATGTGCTAGTGCTTGCCCAAGTGCAGAAGGTTATTTCGCTAATGAAGCACTCTCGTGAGAGTTTAAGCCATTTGAAATTGTCCAGAAGAAAGGCATTGCATCATGGAAATATTTTTGTCTTGATTTTTTCCCCCCCTTGTAAATGTGAAGTCTAGGAACTGAATCCTGCTTCAGGGAAGTTCCTGAGCCTACAGTAATGATCACAATCTCAGGAAGTAATGCATCAGTTATCTACAAACCATCTTCCACCCCACCTATGCCTTCTGAACTGCATGGTCACAGTGCCGGTACCTGGGGACTCAGAAACAACCTCCATTTACCATCAAAAGGACATCACAAGAGCTCCAAAAGGAGCTGGGCCACATTAAGAATTTATGCCCAAGACATTCGCATCATTAGAATATCCCTTCCATAAGATACCTACATATTTCTGAAGACATCTTTGAGGAACTACGGGCTTGGAGGGGAGACTACCATGCCATCTGAACTGGCCATTGCATCAGTTAATTTTAAGAGAAGTTTGAATACTTAATTCAACAAGTTGTTCTCTAAGTGGTAATACATCCCTAGAGATGACACTAATTGCCGTGGTTTTACAGCCTAATGGAAGGTTGACTCCATTAAGGGAGACTGGAGACCATCATCCACTGTAGCCAGTTAACTTGAATTTGTTGCTGAGGGTTTTTCCTGAGAACTATGCTGCAGCCATCAGAGCTGAGCTTGGGTCCACAGCACATTCTGCTGCAGGTTAGGATCACGTCACGTGTGTGTGTGTGTGGCTGCTGGTTAGGATCACGTCACCTGTGTGTGTGTGTGTGTGTGTGTGTGTCTAAAGTGGGTATAAAGAAATTGACAAGTTGAGAGTGTGAGTAATTTAAGCCTTTTATAAGCCATTACCATGAGTCATCTATGATTTTCCTAGGGGAAAAAAATTATTTCAGTTTAAGGATATATCATTAAGTTGTCTGGACTACAATTCTTGTCCTAAACTGTATCTGATGACAGGAGCATTGGCTAGAAATTGTCTTGTGGTAGGGAATAGATTCTGACTTCAGGCAGTTGGTGTGTGACTAAGACCCCAGGTCACAGGCCTGTGCGTTAGCGTGTTCGTCTTCTAGGGATCGGACTTCTTCCTCTGGTAGATTCCTGCTTGGCATGACTGGCCATGCTCCCAGTTCTATCCCAGCCTTTGCTCGGCCGCAGCTCAGTTCATGTGCTGGCAACACAGGCATCACCAGATGCCATACATTCTGGTAAAGGTTGACATTACCCTTGGTTTAATTTCAAGACTTCTGTGAGCATAAATGGTGCTGTGTTTTTCATGTTTTCACTGTGTGTGTGTGTGTGTGTGTGTGTGTGTGTGTGTGTGTGTCACAGGAGTTAGTTCTTTCTGGAATCAAGGAAATAAACCAAGGTGGGCTGTGCATGCTATAGTTGAGTTCACACATGGACCCTGTGTGGGTTCCCTGTGTGTACCATCAGGTATGGTCTCCCTAGCCACTGGCCCAGGAGTGTGCCCCACCACACAGCCCCTCCTAACCTGCTACTCCTGGGGAGTTGGCTGTAGTGGGAAAACTGCCCGGTTCTCCTGGTGCCTCTGGCTTTGGTTTCCCAGATGTACCTCTGAGAGCTGTCTGCGACTAGGGTTTCTAGTGATCTGCCCAGGCCAGGAGCTCAGCATTCGAGCTTTCTGTCTGAAGACAAAGAGGATTAAGAATACAATGCAGGTCACAATGGCATGCCCCTTCTCAAGCCCTGTGGGTGCTGTGACGGACCCTCACGGAATTTCCTTCATGAGCCAAATACTGAGAAAGCCCACCTGGCAAAGTGCTACGTGGCTTTGCAGGCCGGACGACTTCACTGAGCAAGGAGCCTCTACGTGCTCGGGACCTGTTGTTTCAGTGCTGGTGCCTCTGTCTCTCTATCTGGAAGAGAAAATCGTATCTGAAAGAGAAAATCGTTTTATTTTGAGGAAAGAGAAACATACACCTAGAGAACAAATATGTGCGAAGTAATTGGGACATTACGTGAAGTGTGGGGCAAAAATGATAAAACAGACAGTTTTTTGTAACTCTTGTTAATACAAAAGATGACTTGGATGCCATGTTCTACATCAAAGAGCACTGAGTTCTAATGGCAATTGATGTTCACCTCCTAGTATTTCAGCAAGTTGTTAGTCCTGCTTTTGGGTTAGCCATACCCTTAGTTTCCTTCCCCCCTCCCTGGTCCCAAGGTCATATTATTCCTCACTCCTGTGCTAACCAGAGAGAAGGTAGAAGTGACAAGAGGAAGGACACCCAGGAGCCGGTTGTTTCCCTGGTTTGTGTCTTTGCCATGAAATTTCTGGGGTTGTAGGGATAAAAGGAAGCTTTGGGGTGATCTGTAGATGTAATTTTTTTCCTGACTGTACATGTTAACTGATCTACTGAAATCTTCTTTACAACAGTCTCAGTACTGGTATCCCTGTTTTTGTTTCTTAATAGCACACTATGAAAAATAATTTAGTCTTCCCGAAATTGTGATTAAATGAAACATCCTTTTTTCTCATTTTATAGGAGAAATTTATCTCTTTTGCAAAGGAGCAGATTCTTCAATATTTCCCAGAGTAATAGAAGGCAAAGTTGAGCAGATCCGATCCAGAGTGGAGCGTAATGCTGTGGTGAGATGGTGGGCTGAGGGGCAAGCGTCACGCTGGTTCTCCCGTGTCTGAGAGCGCCTGTGCTGGTCCCTAAGAGATCCACTTGCCAGTCAGAATGGGCCACATGTGCACAACCTGGGAAGTTCCCATACAGGTGGTGTTCTGGACCTGGGCACCACCCCCAGCACATTTATTTGCTCAGGAGACTTGTGTGTTATATTTTTAATTTTGGTGGTTTGGTTGGTTGGTTGATGACTTGGCGGGGGCAGGGGGTCCAAGTTATAAGCACATTTGCAGTGATTATATTGGAGAAAGTAGCTCTTTATCCTAAATGGTTTCTAATGATTCCTTTCAAAAATCAATTGGCACTTATGCTTTCCATGTGTCTTCATCTGTTTGGTTTTCTTCCTGTGTCTCATTCCGAAGCATGTAAGCTCAGTCTGTTCTGTAACTTCAGCAACACTGTTCAGTTAGTCAGCAGATCTGAACTTTAATGGCCCCCACCTCTCAACCCCACCCCCACTCTAGCTCCCTCTCTTCAGGGTCTGCTATGGGTGTGGAACAAGCTGTGTATCTCTGACACAGGGCCACCTCTGCTCCCCACATCAGACCCTGAGCCAATGATGTATGGCTCTTCACAGACACATTCCCCCCTGCTTTACTCTAGATATTATAACATTAAGCTTTTTTCTTGTCTTCCGGCCGGTGTGGATCAGTGGATTGAGCATCGTCCCAGTTCACTTCCTGGGCAGGGCACATGCCTGGGTTGTGGGTTCGTTCCCCAGTGGGGGTGTGCAGGAGGCAGCCGTTGGATGTTTCTCTTTCACATCGATGTTTCTATCTCTCCTTTCCTCTCTCTCTAAAACATCAGTAAATACATATAAAAATTTTCTATTACCCAGAGACACCCTTTTTATCCTGAGACCATGCAATGCTGGCAGCAGCTACTACAATTTTAAACTTGGTTAAATGTTGCTGTCATGTGTAAATCCTTTGGCTTTAAGTTCTTATTAAAGCGCCTAGTCACACCTACTGGTCCAACACAGTAGCTGCCATTGAACCAGTGGGAATCAATAAATCAGCTACAGGTTTAAGATTATTGAACCTTTTGTGTGTAGGATTATGAAAATAACAATGTCTCAAATTTCTGCTACCCACAGAGGTGAGGAGCCTGTTGGAATGGAAGAGGAAGGACTTCTTTTAAGCACTTAAGTATACATGTACAGAATGTAGTCCATTTACAGATGATGAGTTTTAATATAGGGTGTGTGAAGTGACCTGCAAGTCACTTCAATATCACATCTGAATGACAGTGAGGCCTTTTCCCACTGTGGCCAGATAGATAACCACACAAGTCAATAGGATAGGCTCTGGACAGGGGATATTCATTGTTGAACCCTGAGATCTCTGCCCAGAACAGGGGAGAGAATATTCTCTGCCCCTGGGTTCTCCTGTGCATCTATCTCTTCTACTCTCAGAGGAAAGTACCAGAATGAAAATAAGTTCATGGGACCAATGCTGGAATTCAGTGTGTTCTGTCTGAACAATGGCTTCCCAGGCCTTAGAAAAATCCAGACTTTACAAGTGTTTCTGTACAGCGTATCATTATCACATTATGTCTCCTAACCTAGGAGCTTCTGCAGAAGTGAGTACAGGGCTTCCTACCCCATGGCATGTCTCTTAACCATGTGGTCCCTTTCCCTTATAACTGATTTTGAGCTTTTCTTTCAACTTTTTTTTCATAACTTTGCTTTCTGACATTAAAGTTTGCGTCGGGCATTCTGTCTGCCTGCAGTTCATAAGGGAAATGTGCTCCCTTCTTTTAGATTGTGCCATGGGCCTTCTCTCAGCTCCTAGAAATCTGATAACATTCTCTTTGAGGGGTTAGAAGACCATCTCCCTGTAACCATCCAGCCAGACAGAGGAAGGGCCTGGCACACTCCTGTTATGAAAGCCCCAAGCTCACGCATTGACAGAATCAAAGTGCTCCGTGTATGGCCTATTCAGTCCCTGAGAACCCAACTTACCTGTGTTTCACTGGCTGGGGTTGTGCATTCTCTGTGTGTGGTGACCTCCAGAATTATGATCACAGCAGAGAATTTGTTTTTCCTAGATTCTTATTTCACTCTCTTGTGGACCAATAGGTTTGATAAATAACCGAGCAGTTGAATGTTGAATTCTTTCAGTTGAATGTTAAATAAGATCAAATTGTTTAACAAACTCCCATGTAAAATATGTTACTTTAGAAATATCATTTGGTATTCACCATAAAATTGCAAATTATTCTCCTAAAGAAAAGTTGAACTCTTCATTTGTCAAAATAAAAGAACAAAGTCTTACCTTTTGATGCCCCTGATTTTATTACTCATGCTTACCTAGTTTAAATGTTTTATATAATATGTAATGATTATATTTAATGTAGACATGAATAACTCAGTTGTAAATGACCAGCTCCTTTTAGAGTTGTTTGGTTTATAATTCTTTGATTAGTCATTTTAATTAGAGAAAGGAAATACTGAGAAAGCTGTTGAAAAATAATATTTCGGCACAGTGACCCTTGAATTCACGAGAAGTGCATTGTATCCCATAGGAGGGGCTGCGGACTTTGTGTGTTGCCTACAAAAGGCTCATCCCAGAAGAATATGAAGGCATTTGTAAGTTATTGCAGGCTGCCAAGGTGGCACTTCAAGATCGAGAGAAGAAGTTAGCAGAAGCCTATGAGCAGATAGAGAAAGATCTTATTCTGCTTGGTGCTACTGCCGTTGAGGATCGGTAAGTAAACACTGTGCCTTGTCTGCAGAAACAAAGCATGATGTGATGTGACAGCATGGGCCACATGGGGGTGCTTCAGGAAGAAGTGTATCAGCTACACCAAAGGGCACATGTTTACGCTGACGGCATGCCGGGGAGTACTATCACAGGGAACTCACGACTGGGTGAGGTTTTGGTTTCTGTGAATAAGATTCCTGCATTCACACTTTCCCAGAAGAAACCAGAAATACGCTACATTTTTAAGTTTTGTTATTTTTAAAAATAGCGTTATTTTAAAAAATTATTCTTTAGAATGAAATCAATAGCTAAATTCTGTTTCTAATTGAGGAAATTTAAAATAAGTGGAATTTTGCAATAATAATAATATTAATAATTTTCAAATGCCTTCAAAGAAAGAGCCTATAATCTGCCACAAGTCTATAACCAGAACTAAAAGTTGTTTAAGGCTTAATGCACTAGGAAATGGTCATCAGTCCACTTTGTTGTCTGAGGGCAGAGAGAAAGGAATGGATTACAGATTATTTTGAAGGAATGGAAAAGAAAGAAAATATTCTAATTTAAAAGAATGAAACAGAAGGTTCAGGAAATTTACTGAGACTTTATTTCCCATAAAGTTTGTAAGTTTTTAAGACCTATACTATATTGGTCCAAAATTTCAATACTTAGCTCAAAACCTACATTTTCCCAGTGTCTTTAACAAGCATATACTGTGTTCTCAATCTCAATATGAGATTGGACAATGTAGGAAGGTTTGGGTTTATTTGGGGTTTTTGTTTTTTTAGTCCCTTTCCTCATTCAGTCCAGAGTATAGCAGGTATGGACACAGAAATAAACATGAGAATTATAACATGCATAGGACAGATTTACAACATGGAACCGTAGTTATAGAACGGAGTTGTTCGTTAGGCAGGAGAGAGAGATACTTGGTAGGGTGTGGCTGGGGAAGGGTTGGGCCTGGTCCTCAAAGGAAGGGGAAAGTGCAAGGCTTTTACAGACGGAAGGAACCTAGGAGGCAGAGCCCATGTGTAGAGACCCTGTCAAGAGGATTGTGGGAGCAGATCGACTCAGTGGGGAATTGGGATGTCAAAATATTGAGAGTAGATACCAGTGGAAGTGGGGTGTATAGGGCCAGTGGCTTTGAGGTGTTGATACTTGTTTATATCTTTAAAATCTCTAGCCAACATCTTTGCCGACCATTCTCAGCCTCAGATGTCTTTTTCAAAAACAAAAAAAAGGAAATTAGAGGGATTTTTTTTCTGTCTCTAGAATAATATGACTGTGTGATCAGATTTTTCTCCAGGAGGCTGATTCCAGAATCTAACCAAATCATTCCAGTTAGAATCTGAATCCTTTTTTTTAAATTCATTGCTTGATGGAGACACACTACATTACTCCACACGTCTTTCAAAACCTAATACTCTAAAATCTAGAAAAAATGGCCGGACCTTCAAATGAAGCAAGTATGGTTTTGATGCCAGACTTCCATAGATTTCAGGACAGTCTGACCAGTGTCAGGAGAGCTCTTTGTCCTCAGACATGTTTTGTAACCTCTGCAAGCTATGGGTTTTCCACATGTAAAATGGGGTAATAATCAAGTCCTTCCCCCTTAAGTTGGTTGTAAAAGTGAAATGTCACACGAACAAGGCTTCACACGCAGCTGACACTTGATTAGCTTGTGATGCCTGTTTGTCCGTCATAGGATCACAACTCGCATTGTCAGTGTTTACATGATCTACAGGAACCTGGGCTCCAGTTTGATAAGTGGCAACATTTAAACAGTGTTTTCCAAGAGAAAAGATAATGAATATTATTGACCATCTGTTTTATTGATCTCATTTCCCCTGGTTTAGACTTTTTTGTTGTTGTTGGTTATATGGTCCTTCTTAAAATTGCCTAAAATCCTCTCCAGGAAGTGAGTCTCAGCTAGACAGAATCTGTCATGCTGGCATATGGCAATTATGCAAGACAGCTATTACTACTTAATGTTGTATCCATGTTTATCTATTTGATATTAGAAAGTGTTTTGTTTCTTTTTTTTGTAAAAATTTAATACACTTTAAAAACAGATTCAGGCATGTCACTGTAAGATCAGGAGCCAGCACTGTGGTGCTTTTTAATTTTGAGGGCCTAAAATATTTTAATAGGTCGCACGTTTTTGAAGTTGTTTGTTTTTTTATTTTTTATTTTGTTTGTTTGTTTTTTTATCCTCACCCGAGGACATTTTTCCATTTTTTGTTCAGATAGAGCGGGAGGGAGAGAGAGGAACAGAGAGAGAGAGAGAAACATCGATGTGAAAGGGACACATTGAGTGGCTGCCACTCGCACAACCGACCAGGGCCGGGGACAAACTGCAACCGAGGTACGTGCCCTTAGCAGGAACCAAACCCAGGTCTCTCTGGACCGCAGGCCGACGCTCTAACCGCTGAGCCAAACCGGCCAGGGCGTGAAGTTGTTTGTTTTGATTTGCCTTTATCAACCCTGATGTTTGTTGTGTTTCGCGTTTGCGTTCTTCAGTCTCCAGGAAAAAGCTGCTGACACCATAGAAGCTTTGCAGAAGGCAGGCATCAAAGTCTGGGTTCTCACTGGAGACAAGATGGAGACGGCAGCAGCCACCTGCTACGCCTGCAAACTCTTCAGGAGAAACACACAGTTGCTTGAGCTAACCACCAAGAAAATTGAGGAGCAGAGTTTACATGATGTTCTGTTTGAACTGAGTAAAACAGTCCTACGCTACAGCGGTAGCTTAACCAGGGACAACTTCTCAGGGTAGGTGGCAACCACCCTTCCCCACCACAAAACATGTTTTCAGAAGGACTAAAATGACCTTCATTTGCAAGGACAGAGCCTTAGCACCCTTGCTGAGAATGTGATTCTGCGCCACCCCATCAGTAACAGCATCATTGTGGTTAGAGTGATCACCTAAAACATGACCAATGCTGTTTCTTTTCAACACTATGATGTCTTTTTATACAAGAGGATATGCATAAGAGAGGAGGGGTGTGTGCGTATGTATATGTACTTTCACACTGCTGGTTAAGCATGCAAAAATACTTGATTGATTGATTCACAAAATATTTTAAATGGGATAATTCTCATCTGTTTCTAAGACACTTGTGGTGGGGGTGTATTTTGGATTCCTCAGGGCATCTGCCAGGCCAGGGAAGGAAATATTAATAATGCATGGTTGCTTGTCTGGTAAGATAAAACAATATATGCTCTAGAGTTCAGAATATTTAGACTTTATTCTGATACATAATATCAATGTTGTCCTTGCTGATATTAGACGCATGATCTAAGAATAGATTTTATTTGAATCATTTAAGGTTGTCATTAATGTAGGTAAAACAAAGGCAGCTGCTGATCATCTGCAAATTTTATTTATTTATGTTTACATTTATCTTTAGAGTGGGAAGGGGGGAGAGAGAGAGTGAGAGAGAAACATTGATGTGAGAAACACATCGATTGGTTGCCACCTGCACAACCCCAATCGGGGCCGGGGACAAACTGTAACCGAGGCACATGCCCTTGGCCAGAATCGAACCCGGGACTCTGATCCACAGGCTAAAGCTCTAACCACTGAGCAAAACTGGCTAGGACTCATTTGCGAATTTTAGCTACTTTTTTTTTTTTTTTAATCCTTACCCCAGGACATTTTTCCATTTTTTGTTCAGATAGAGCGGGAGGGAGAGAGAGGAAGAGAGAGAGAGAGACATCGACGTGAAAGGGACACGTGGAGTGGCTGCCACCCGCACGACCAACCAGGGCCGGGGACAAACTGCAACCGAGGTACGTGCCCTTAGTGGGAACCGAACCCGGGTCTTTCTGTACCGCTGGCCGACGCTCCAACTGCTGAGCCAAACCGGCCAGGGCTCATCTGCAAATTTTAAATTGTTTGTAAACAATACAGAGATAGCCCTGGCCAGTTTTGCTCAGTGGTTAGAGCGTCGGCCTGGGGTCCAGAGACATCTGGGTTTGGTTCCTGCTAAGGGCATGTACCTTGGTTGCAGTTTGTTCCCGGCCCTGGTTGGGTCATGCGAGAGGCAGCCACTCAATGTGTCCCTTTTACGTTGATGTTTCCTCTCTCTCTCTCTCTCCCTCCTACTCTATCTGAACAAGAAATGGAAAAATGTCCTCGGGTGAGGATTTAAAAAGAAAGCAGAGATATTTCCCTTTACCTGACCTGCAGCATTCCTTTTGGGGATTAGAGATGTTCCTTATAATTTTGAAACCCAGCAAAAAGAATTATTATAACCAAAATTCTTTCCAATTCAGGTCATTCAGGCAGAATACCAAGTAGGTATTAGCTGTAAAGATAAAAATTGAGGTTAGCCAGTATGGCCAGGAAGTTTGGGAATAAAGACTGTCCTCTTTAGACTGCAGGACAAATACTGTGCTCCTATTGCTGAGAAGTACTGGGACCCACAAAGGAATCCAGTTATACTCTGCCTAGGTGAAATGCAAATGTCTAATTAAAACACAATTTTAAAATTTAGTCACAGGCGTTACATTCAATACTCTAAAGACCATATTGATAAAACAAGTAATACAGTAGTCCCCCTCTGTCTGCAGTTTTGCTTTCCACAGTTTCAGTTACCTGTGGTCAACCGTGGTCCAAAAATATTAATGGAAAATTCCGGAAATATGTCATAAGTTTTTATTGTGTACTATTCTGAGTAGCATGATGAAATCTCAAGCCATCCTGATCTTTACCACCCAGAATGTGAAGCATCCCTTTGTCCAGTGTATCCACAAGAGAAAGACTCAGTTCACATAGCTTTTATTATATTACTGAAAATGGTCAATTTTATTAATTATGATAATGATCTCTTACTGTGCCTAATTTATAAATTAAACTTTATCATAGGTATGTATGTATAGGAAAAAGCATAGTATATATAGGTTGGTACTACCTGCCTTTTCAGGCATCCACTGTGGGTTCTTGAAATGTATTCCCCGAGGATGGGGGGAGGGATTATTATATAGCAGGTTCTTGAATAACATCATTTCATTCAATGTTTTGTTATAACATTGATGAGATGCCATGAGAACTTAACTCTTGTGTATATCAATTAGCCTGTGGTAAAATTGATTTCCTTATACATCATTTTGCTTAAAGTTGCAGAACCTATTGACAACATTAAGTGAGAACTTTCTGTACTAGTTTCTTAATCCCTTGATCATGGATTTGTAGCATCTATAGATATTTGCAAACGTTATATAGTCTTCTAAAATATATAAATTTAGTTATTGAGTAATCTCTGATTTGTGTAATTAACAGCCTTTCATCAGACATGCAAGACTATGGTTTAATTATTGATGGAGCTGCGCTGTCTTTAATAATGAAACCCCGAGAAGATGGAAGCTCCGGCAACTACAGAGAACTGTTTCTTGAAATCTGCCGGAACTGCAGTGCTGTGCTCTGCTGCCGGATGGCTCCTCTGCAGAAGGCCCAGGTCCATGCGCCTATCTCTCATAATAGCTAGTGATTGATGGGACGCGTATTTGAATACTGAAAACCATTACTTAGTTGTTACAACCTCTGATGTATGTGTGTGTGTGTGTGTGTGTGTGTGTGTGAAATCTAGTAAAAGTACCACCTTTTTAACATAGAAGCGAATATGCTAGACATTTAAAACATGCATTTTGTTTTGCTTATTGTGCTTAGTAAGAGTTGACTGAATCAAATGGATGACCTTTTCCATGCAAAGACCAGGAGAGATGACTCTATCTGACTTGTCTTATAAAATAAAACCATATCATAAAGGTATAGTCATTTATAGGAATGTATACTAAAGATAAGAGGTGTGGTACTAGCATTATTGAGCCAGTTACAGATATAGATATGAACCCATTCAACCTTCAGAATACCCCTGTCGGATGAGTGATGTTGTACTACTTTTACAAATGAAGTATCTAAGATGCAGAATATCCGGGTAACTTTTCTAACAGGATGCATTTGGGAAATGGTAGTCAGAATTTGGTTTCTAGTTTGTTGGACTCCAAACTCATGTTCTACCCACTGCAACATATTCTTGTGGAAACACACAGCTGATGTGTTTCTTTATTTAGAAAAAATATTTTATGTTCTTTAAAATATTATGGACTACATATATGAACATAAATTTCTTTCTGTTGATAAACCTACATCAATTCTCTTGTTAAACCACATTTTAGATACACTAGGCCAATTTCTTCTGAGTTATTCATGAAAGAAGACCATAATAACCCAGTGGCTAAGGTAAAATGCTGAAAACCATGTGCCAAGAGGTGATTTTAGCATCCTTGCACATGTGCCACACTGATCTGCTAGGTGGCAGTGTCGCTAAGAATATAGCACCTGGATCTGCCTGGGTAATTCTTTGTGAGGACAAGCTGAGACTCAAAAATTCATATTCATTCTATCTGAGATCAAAATGGTTTTATTCCCTCCCCTCCCCTCTATGTGTTTGATTCCATGTAAACCTTATATGTGCTACATGGTACTTTTCTTAAGTTCTTAACTGAGTTTAACAAACTTTTAGACAAATTAATTTGTGTTTCAGTCACTCATCTTGAAACAAGAAGGCAATCCATACATTTTTTTTCCCATTTTCTTTTTAGTCTATATCTCAAACCATCATTTAGATGTATAAATGGAAACTACATATATATATGTATATATATGTATATTATGATATATATTATAAGGAAATTGGCTAAGACATTTGGAAATTATTAATTGCATTGAGTTGTCTGATTTTTTTACTCACGTGACAAGTTTGAAAATTAAAATAGCATTAAATAACTTACTTTACAAAGTATTTGCTTGATAGCAAATAGTTTCAAATAGCAATATTTTCTAACAGAATCTAGTGTTCAGATTTTTCCCTATATATTTAAATATATTTCTCCTTTATGTTTAAATATGTGAGTATAGCCATTACTGGAAACTACTTTATATATTTTATGTCTCTATCTTCAAAGTTTGCCTTCCAGCACTTTCCTAAATAACTGATTGTAATCATACCTTAGCTACTTTTGCTTTTAATGTAAAATAGATTTTATTGTATGTGGATAAAATAGATCCCATGTAGTACATTCACTCTAGGCAAAAAATATTTTCATTTTTCTTGCTTAACTTTGTATCTTTTTTATTTATGCCTAGTTAGTGAGTATCCTTAGCAAAAGTAAAACAGAGGAGATCAATTCTGTCTTTATTTCTTTTCCAGATTGTTAAATTAATCAAATTTTCAAAAGAACACCCTATTACATTAGCGATTGGTGATGGCGCAAATGACGTCAGCATGATCCTGGAGGCCCATGTGGGCATAGGTATGCCTCTTCTTTTTTGAATGCCTGCACATCTTGGTAACTAAGATTTATCACTTCAGCTAGACACGACAGGATACAGCCAGATTATAGACTTAGGATGACACATTTAGGGCAGCATCTGTGATTTAGTAGGTTCATGACTGGGAAATCTAACAGTAATGGTTGGATCTGACCTTATTTGCATGTTTTTGAGAAAGTGTTTACTCAGTACATTTATTCCCTTCTTGTAGGCGTCATTGGAAAGGAAGGTCGTCAGGCTGCAAGGAACAGTGACTATGCAATACCTAAATTTAAGCATTTAAAGAAGATGCTACTCGTTCATGGGCATTTTTACTACATTAGGATATCTGAGCTTGTGCAATACTTCTTTTATAAGGTAGGAAGGATTTCCTTGCTCCTATCACTGATTCAGTGAAATATTATGTACATCATGGAATGACACATTTGACAGATGCCTTAGTGCTACAAGGGGTGATTTATGTAAAAATAAAAGTAACTGTCAGCAAGGAAGGGCTTGATCTAGCACTTCTCACACTCACATGATTTAATGTGAAACCATTAAGAAGATATCAGTTGTAAAATGAATGAGGAAGGGCATTCTTTTTTCTTTGAAATAATTCCTTATTCATTACGCAATTTGATTCTTTCCTGTTTATACTGACACCTACATTGCCTCCTCATTTCTCTTTATCAAATCTCTTTTTACATTAACTGTTCTCAGAGTTACCAGAACATGGTCACATATGCATTATAGGTGCTATTTAAAAGGAGAAAAATGTTAAAGTTCATCGCCTGCTTTTCTGACAATGTAGGACACTTTTGGGTCACTTTCCCATATAAAGTAGTATCACATGGACAGCCTCTTAGGAGGTTAGACGCTTCTTACAATGTGCCCTTGAACTAACAAGCATGTACCTTGTCTTTCAGAATGTCTGCTTCATTTTCCCTCAGTTTTTATACCAGTTCTTCTGTGGGTTTTCACAACAGGTAAGTCCTAATGTCTAAAGTCAGCAGCTTCCCTGAGCCTTATCTCTCTCCATATGTGGGTGGCTGCAGTGGGGGGAGAGTAGACCAGAGATGTACAGTCCAGGACTATGACGGAGGCTCAAGTGCCCTCAGCAACGCCATCAGCAGGTGAGGTGAAGGAGTGGTGTGGAGGAGCCCATGCCCACTGACTGCAGGCTCTCCCATGTGGCCCAGTGAGTGATGTGCCCAGAACTTGCCTACCTTAGGCCAGGGAGGGATGTCTTAGGCTTTCTGTTCATAACTGAAAAGATTGGATCTAAATCTGAGATACTGTCCTGGTATCTCACCATTCATTGACTTCTGACACTTTCAAATGCTGGGTGGAAGAGGGTAGGCCATCTGATAGGAGAAGGGACCCCTCAAGGCACCCCCTTTCTGTCACTCATTTTCCTGTCCAGCTCAGGTGGACTGTGGGCTAACTGCTTTTATCTGAAGGGTCCGGGGCTTGGGAAAATTGAATCTTGAAAGATGGCAATCAAAATTTCAAACTTTTATGCAACATTTTTTGTTGTAAGTTTGTAGTGGCCCAGTGGAGTGGATCACAGTTAGGCCTTCTCTCAGTCATGATTTTAATCCTCTAATTGACATTATGAAGCTTTGAAAATTGTTCTGATCCTTCTAAATCTGTAGAAAGAAGGCTCTGTGTGTATTTCATAATGCTCATATTAATAAGTCTTTGCAAATTAAAAATATGTTTAAAAAAACAACCAAAATAGTTTAACAAAAGTACATGGGTTTTATTTTCAGTGTTTTTTTCCTTCCTGCAGACTCTGTATGACACCGCCTACTTGACACTGTACAACATCAGTTTCACTTCCCTCCCGATTCTCTTGTACAGTTTGATGGAGCAGCATGTCAGCATAGACACACTCAAGAGGGACCCTTCCCTCTACAGGTACTGAGCCTCAGAAACACACTTGCTTTAGAGCTCGGAGAATAACAAGGTAGCCAGAGTGATGCCTTCGCATAAATGCCTGGTTGAATTATTTAAAAACCAGAAACATTCTGTGTCAGCTGATACACTTGCTCTTATGGAGTCTTTAAGCAAGAGTCAGTGTAATTTAACTGATTAAACTTCAAATTTAGATAGAAGATTTATGTTGCATTTGAAATGTACATATTAAGCCAGTTAGTATTTTTTTTTAACTATGTTTTTTGGTAATTATAAAAGGACTGGGGATAAGAATTTCTATCCCCTTGTGACCCCAGTGGATTTATGGTCTAAATTATTCTTTAAAAACCACATGTTTTATTCGGTGAGAGAGAAAAAGTTAACAGATCTTATTTTTTTGTGCTCTTTTCTGCTAAAAAGTACATTTTAATAACAAGGAAGAGGTCAGAATTGCACTGTAGGATCTCTGGCAGATTCAATGTGTTGCTGGGTATTTTGCGGCTTCTTAAATTAAACTTATTTCAGAAAATTTTAGATTCACATGTAGTGGTAAAAAAGAATACAGAGAGATTCTGCAAAATTAGGACACCTGAGTAAGATGGGCGGTTGGTGTCCATATCAGTATCCTGATTGTGATACTGACCTACAGTTTTGTAGGATTTTTGTCAGATGTTGTCACTGGAGGAATCTCTCCAGTGACTTAGAGGCCCCTACTGGACAAGGATGGTGGCCCTGGCCGGTTTGGCTCAGCGGTTGGAGCATTGGCCTGTGGACCAGAGAGTCCTGGGTTTGGTTCCCGCTAGGGGCATGTACCCCCAAAAAAAGACGGTCACTGCGGAGCTTGGTGGAGACGGACCGGGTCACTGAACGAGGCCTGTTTCAATGGAGTGCAGCCACTATGTTCTCCCGTTTTACTTACACAGAGATATCGCCAAGAATGCTCTACTCCGCTGGCGAGTGTTCATTTACTGGACATTCTTAGGAGTATTCGACGCTCTGGTATTTTTCTTTGGTGCTTACTTCATGTTTGAAAATGCAACAGTGACCAGCAATGGACAGGTCAGTACGGAACGGGTCTTGTTGACGTGGCTACTTGGGAGTAACCCTTGATTTGATTGTGATTGTTGGTCAGTGTGGTCATTCAGCACAGCCTGTGGGGTCTCCTGATGTTGGGTATCTAGCTACCAAATCGCTTAAAGGACACAGTACAGTGGTAAATGTGCTCCTCTGACTGTAGGAAATACCATTCCTGAGGGTTTTCAGGCTTTATTCTTGTAACTTATATTTCACCATTAGCTATTTATCTAGTGGTTCTGTTAGATTATTCAGGCATGGCTTATTTAATATAGGAATTAAGTTTGTATTGAACACATTTTCCCATTTTTTTCACATGTACTTAAGTATCTGTTTTCTTTGCAATGAGTAGATTGATAGTTTTTAATAGACATCAGCTCTCTGGTTGTTTGCATAATTTCTAGGGTTTGTTTTATTTGTATCTTGCTTTTTTTCTTTTTGCGACTTGCTTTCCTTCCCACTCTCAGATAATGACTACCAACACACATATGGTAAGACAATTGTGGGTGTGTCCTTTATGTTTTTGGAGTGCATTCTAGATAAAATATTTCTCGAAAATATTTTCAAATGTCACTTCTTTTGTGTGCTTTGTCAGTAGAAACACTGTTAGCTGCTGCTCCCTTCTCCTTCCTGCAGACGAAAGTTATATTAGAGAAGTCTGTACATTTGACCATTTGTACTTGGTGTTTATCTCTGAATTTCTGTGTCAGGATTGCCATGAGTCAGTGACGGTTTATTTATTTATTTATTTACTTATTTATTTATTTTTGCATTTATCTTCAGATAGAGCGGGAAGGAGAGGGGGCAAGAGAGAGAGAGAAACATTGATATGAGAGAGACACATCGACTAGTTGCCACCCACAGGACCCCAGCCGGGGCTGGGGACAAACCGCAACCGAAGTACGTGCTCTTACGGGAACTGAACCCGGGACTCTCGGGTCCACAGGCCGATGCTCCAACCACTGAGCCAAACCGGCCAGGGCCAGTGATGGTTTTTAAATTGACTTGTTTCAACTTCCCTTTCCCTTAAAGAAGAGTCAACGTAGGCAGGCCTGTGAGGCCTGTGGGGAACACTGCTTTGAATGTGGCAAACCCGTGTACCTGGGAGAATTGCAAAAGACTCGGAGTACACATCAGGGTTGTTCCCTACCTAAATGTTACAATATTTACCTAGCCGTTAAAATAAACCCTGCTTTTGACATAAAAGAAGGGTAGCTTATGAACAGAAATTTACCTTTTCTGTTTGACAGAACACCTCTTTTTTCCCGGTTATCTTCCTGTATCATTTAGCTCTTAAAACTGTCGGATTGAAACACAAAGGTCTTGCTGCAGGTCCCTGGAAATTTGTTTACCCATTTATTTGTTTCTTATTTCGCATTACTAAAAGGTGCTATTATCTTTCATTATAATGTAAACCAATTTTTACCAAATTGATCTTGAGAATTTTGTTTAGTTTATTTTAATTGAATAATTCCTGGATGCTAACAGGCTATAAAGGTTGTTAAATAGAGCTGTCTTATTGTTCTTATGCTCCTTTTATACGATTGTTCTTATGGGTTATGCTTTAAGTAAGCATCTTATGTGCATCTTAAAAAGAACCGAGAGTCTGTGTCCTGAGGCCTGCGATTCCGTGATCGTGGGAGCACGCCGCTAGCAAAATAAGTGACATTCAGCGGGTGCTTCATTTACAGTTTCTTTTCACCAATCTTATCTTCTCTTAACTACAGTGACCCTCGGACATATTCATAGTTGAGGAAGCTAAAGTTCAGACAGGTTAAAGAATTTGTACAAAGTAAGGTAATTAGAACTCAGACCCAGGATATTTGGCACAATACTTTTAGTATTTGTTTAATATAGTAAGATTATAGATACGTCTGAGGAAGTACTATTCGGAGGCCTCAGTAGGGGAAAAGGATACACAAGAAAAGGCATGCTTGGCTTGTGCACGCTGGAAATGGGTGTGCTGTTTGAACAGTGTAGTGTGGCTTTGGGGTGCAGACCATAGAGGAGCATCTCCTCCTCCTGCTCAAATTCCTGCAGTCCTGGTGTGTCTCTAACCAAACCTCCACCCAGCCACTCCTTATACAGCTGGGATCTGTGGGCACAGTGGTATTTGGAGGTCCTGTGTATAATCCAAGGGTTTCTACCAATTCTTCATTTATCTCCTATTTCCAGTTTTCTTAAGGGTGCCCTGGGCCCCTACAGAACCTATACACTAACCTGTAGGATGCTGCTTTTCTGTGACACTTTTATATCTCCCACAGTTACCATTGGCATACCTTTGCACACCCATTATTGGATGAAACTATTAATTAGAATTTGAAATTATGACAGAAAGAGAGACCAAGATAAAGAAAACCCAAGTTGGCTGTGCCACTCTAGCTAAGAACCACTCTTATGACTGGGTGTTTCTTACAAGTAGAGCTTTGAGAGCCCTCTGCTTACTGGCCTGTCATGACAAAGATTCATCACACATAATGTACATTTGTCATATGAAAAGCTTCTGAGATGCACGGTAATATGATGAACCAGCACATGGGGCAGTTGGTGCCAAATATAGGTGTTTAATGTGAGGTGTTTGTCTGCAGTTATGCATTTGAGAGGTGAAATTTGCTGAAATTCACTAATGCTCTATAGAAGTTAAAACTAAAGACCTAGAGTTGTGAGAGCAAGATGAATAATAGTCATAGCATCCCTAATTATGAGTGGCAGGTGTGTGAAGGACCTAGTGTGGACATTCATCCCATATCACTAGGAGGACAGGAGCTCCAGGAGGTTGGCCTAACCCAAGGCCTCCATGTTAAATGCAATGTCTGCTGTTGTAACTCTAGACCTCCCCCCCCCCCCCCCACACACACACACTATGCTTCGGCATCAGAGAGGCCTTTCTTATTCTGGATTATTGATGCTTAAATTCTTGTTTGGGGGCTACGAGTGTTAGGTCACTTGCAAAACTAAAAATGGTATCATTGGCTAGTTCTGTAAACCTGCAAAATGCAAGTAAATACAGCGTAGTCTCAGGTGATCTATGATGATGTCCTGGGTTCTAAGGTAGCAGGGCAATGTGGAGATGATAATGCTCATCCCTTTTCTGATGGTATTCCCTGACAAATGAGAATGTGTCTTCGTGGTGGTATAATTTAGATGCCCTGTTTTACTGATTGTCAGTAGGGGAGGACCACTTTTTCTAAGACTAACTCATTTTGTAAGAATGTTTATAGTGCACACGTAGTATTGAGGGAACACTAGAATCATGCATAACTTTTCATAAAGAAAAATTCACTTAGGGGCATTTTCTGCACAGATGTCATAAGCCACAACTGCTTCTCAAATGAGAATTTTAAGACAATAATTATTGTTGTTGAACAACATGGTATTCCTGGGTGAACACTTGAAAGTTTGGAGCATGTGTCAGTAAACATCAGCAGAGCTGCAGTTTGAGCTGTCGCCAGCCAGTGGAGCAAGGGTGGATGATGGATCATGCCAGCAGACTTGATAGAAAAGTATGGAATCTGTGCATGAAGGGTGTAGAGTAGGTGTTTCTTATGACTGTGATCTTGAAAAAAATGCGTCATGTTTGTTGTGGAATTTTTTACACATAAAAATTAAATTGGTCTGGATTCTAGGGCTTTAAAAAACAGGAAAATTCCCTGCAAAATACCCATCCTCAGGAGAAAGAGAGATGTGTGAGAAGGGATTAAATTTGAATCTGGAGGAATGTTAGGCTTCAGAGACATTCTGCTGAATTCTCATGATCATCTGAATGAGGCTATGAAGTTAGTGAAATTCTCAATGGAGATAACAGCTAAGAAATCACTCAGGGCTTCAAGGGGGGAATGGAGAACTAACATCACTTGGAAAAAAGATGGTTCCTCTGGACAACCCTTTGAGAAACAGGATTGGTGTTCCAGTGAACCATCCCACCTCCCACCCCAAAATCCATAGAAATAATAGCAAACAATTTTTTAAAATATCTTTTTATTAATCTTTTTAGGGAAAGAGAGATAAAAACATCAATGTGAAAGAGAAAACACTGCTGGGCTGCTTCCTGCACGCCCCCTACTGGGGATCGAGCCTGCAACCCAGGCATGTGCCCTGACTGGGAATTGAACTAGGACCTCTCAGTCTGTGGGATGATGCTCAGTCCACTGAGCCTCACCAGTGGTATTAGCAGTTAGCCTAAAGGATCCCTTAAAACAATAAGGATATTAAGAGGAATTTACAGAGATCTTTGCATAATTGTCTATCCCAATTAGCCGGAGATAGCCAGAGGGCATAGGTGAGGGTAAAGTAGACCAGCATTGCCCAGGGTTCTAACCAAAATTTTCAATCTGGGTTCAAGGTAGTTGTGCTTTGTTGGTATTAACCTGTAAAAATGACAGCTGAGGCCCATGTGGTTTACTGGACTAGGCACTGGGATGCCTAATTTGTGATCCCAGGCCTACCATAATCTACCAGATCTGAGAAAACCAGTCAGTGCCCTAGAGAAACACCCCCTTCCCCTCAGGGAGAGAGAGAAGTGAAGAAGTCACTTGAGTGACTGAAAGTTTGTCCCTGATCTGTGATGCTGTTGGTAATATCTTCGCGCTCCTCTGTGCAGACTCCATTTCCACAGTATGCTATTATCCAACACTTTTTAAAGAGTTTCCAGTTTCCTGCCAAGTATGGGTGGTAAACGTGCTGGCCTGGAGTTTGAGGAAGTAGCAGAGCAGAGTGGTGGCCTTCCTGCCAGATTCTGCTGACAGTGCCCACGTGGGATTCAAAGCTGCCCCTCCCCCAACCTACTGCAGGTTCACCCTTCACTTTGGCTAGCAACACCAGCATCCAGTGAAAACGAAACAGAGCCGCTTTATTCTCCAACACCCAGGCACCTGGGCATTTTTGTAGTCGTCTGCCAGACTGCACCCAGACTTGGAGTTCTAAAATGTTCTTGCCTCAGAAGTTAAGCATTGAAGGGAGAACACTTTTTTTTAGGGTTTCCCAGCCTGACCACTATTTCCATTTGGTTGTGGGCTGCCCAGTGCAATTAGCAGATCTCTGGCCTTTGCCTGCTCAATGCCTGTGACACCCCTTCCTCCTGTGACAATCAGAAATGTCTCCAGACATTGCAAGTGTCCCCTAGGAACAGAATTGCCCCACACCCCCCTCCTCATTGAGAGCCACTGGTGATTGTGGATCTGAGTGATGAAAGCCCAGTTTCAGTCATGATGATAAAGTGTAAAGATGATTGTCGGGTGGGGAGGGGGTGGGGGGGTTACTCTAAAGTCCTCACACATTACTTAGTTTTCTTCTAGATTCTACCAGTAGTTCTTACCTCACTAAATCTTTCCCAAGACGGCTAGCCTACACATTCACCTAAATCAAGCTACATGTAGGCATATTTCTTTGGTTGACAATTAACCATAGAGGAAAGCCATGTGTATTCCAGCTTTTTAATTTTTTGTGAAATAAAGCTTTATTTTCTTTTAAAGAAGTACAGGAACATTTTCTCAGAGGTGTGCTTCACAGTACCCGGCACACCAGATGCTTAGTGTAGAAACCTTGAAGAAACTCTTATAGAATAAAATCTCCTATACACTGATTTTTTTTCCCTAAGTGAAAGAAGTCTCAAGTAGTCAGTGTTTTATTTTGCTTGTGTCTTTGTCTGTGGTTGAGAAATGTGTTGTTTTTATGCTGTGACGTGTGTGCTTCCACCCCATGGCCATTTCCTGGTACCCTGCCCGAGTCCTCGGGGGCGCCCCAAGCCCTGCTCGTGTCTCTCCTCTCGGTGGCCTCCCCCGAGGGGCCGTTGACATGTCTGTGGTTCTGGCCTGCAGACTGGCCACTGGGGCCTTCATGCAGCCCTGTCTTGGCTGCCTTCTTCATCGCCCTTTCCTGTGATTTTTCCCAAGGAAAGCCCATCCATGTGTCGCACATACGTGACATGGCTGTTTCTCTCACTGCTTGCCAGCAGAATGATCTAGCGCTTGCTTTTCTTTCAACGCAGGCAGGTGTTTGACTTGAGTCCAAAGGGAATAGACAGAAATTCTACTGAGTTGATTCTCAAACGTGTAGATGGCATAGAACTAGGTAATTAGGTAAATGTCACTTCTACATGAAACAAGAAACAGAAAAAAAGAGCATCATGTGTATTGTAATACCAGCTCTTCAGTGTTTTTCTTGCTCCCAGTGTGTGACGTTAGCACTGATGTTTGTTGATAGCACCGAGGGGGCCAACATCGAGGATGACAGGACTGTCAGTGTGGGAAGGGGCTCTGTTCCCACCACAGGGTCACTGCCTTGGCCCTGAGGGATGGTGCTGGGGAGCCAGGGGGTCTTGAGTACCCCAGGATGTTTTCTGCCATCTCCTTTTACTTTGTAGCAACAAGACAGAGTCCCTGTATCTTTGGGGTTTGAAGTGTTGGCACCCAAGAACAATGAGATATATTTTCTAAACACTCTTGTTTTGAAGGGAAAGGGGAAAAATATATATTAACAAGAGACTACTTGGACTATTTGTCCCCACAGATATTTGGAAACTGGACCTTCGGGACGCTGGTGTTCACTGTAATGGTATTTACAGTCACACTAAAGGTAAAACCTCCTGTGTTGATGTTTCTTCTTCTGGCCATAGTTAACCCCTGCGTGTGTGGATCTCCCTGTCTCTGAACTACAAATCCACACTTGCACACGGCCCAGACGAGCTCTTGGCCCAGGGAGGGGTCTTCTTACCACCATTCAGTGAGTCGGGTGCAGACTCGGCTCTCACCATAATCCAATACGCAGACTTCCAAAATTATACAAAAGGTAGATGAAGGAATGAGCCTTGTCTTTTTTTACTTTATTTATTCTATTAAATTGTTTTTCAGTTATAGTTGGCATCCAGTATTATATTAGTTTCAGGTATACAGCATAGTGATTAGATATTTATATACCTTATGAACTAAGCACCTCCATAAGTCTAGCACCCATCTAATAATATAATAATATACAGAGTTTTTACAATATTGTATCCTCTATGCTATACTTTATATCCCAAGACTATTTGTATAACTGGTAATTTGTACTTCTTAATCCCTTTCACCTTTTCCACCCATCCCCCAATGAGCCTTTTCTTTATTAAAGTATTCAGATTAGAATTATTTTAATTGGCAAGCTCACCCCCCATAGAATCAAAATACACTTTAATTGAAATTAAATTATTATGGAAAATAGAATTCTTTTAAGAGTCAAATTCTATATGGGATATCATTGTGAAAACCCCACACCTGTGAATCTGGGTTTTAAAAAGTGATTCAAAGAAAATCCAAAAGTAATTCCCTTAGTAGTAACATAGCCAGTACCTTAAGATATTGCCCCTGAGTGTATCCCCTGTTGGAGAAACACTCCCAGAGTGCATTTCCTCAGGATCTGGGTGAGAGTTACCTGATATTGCACATTCTGTATCTTCATTGGAAGAGTGAGGTTGTTTTCCCTAAGCAGTTTCATATGGGCATTTGGGCTAAAATTAAAGTGTTGGTGGTTGGTGGTGGTTGGTTTCATTATATTCTGCTTTCTTTTCCTCACCATGGCTCACACTAACATATCACACCTTCTTTTTTTCAGCTGGCATTAGATACACACTACTGGACTTGGATAAACCACTTTGTTATCTGGGGGTCGCTACTGTTCTACATCGTCTTTTCTCTCCTCTGGGGAGGAATTATCTGGTATGAATTATAAATATTATGTAATCATTATTACCTTTATAGTCCTGCAGTGTGTTTCATCAGGAGCTCAAAACACATTTTCTGTACAACCTCATTCCTGTGTGCAAGTGTTTGTTGCATGCTGCTATGTGCAAGGCATTGTGCCAGGGGCTGGAGTACCACGGAAGGAACGAGGCAGTGTCCCTGCTCCTTTGACCTCACATTTTCCATGGGGGCAACATGCTGGATAATATCTAATCAGGCTTTTGACAAGTGAGGAACAAACAGAAGCTATAGCAAGGGACCTATTTCAGATTGAAGGTCAGAGAAGGCCACTCAAATAAAGTTACTATTTAAACTGGAACCTGGGAGAAAATCACCATGATCATAAAAGGTCATACTTACTAAATGCTTCCTAGAATGAGGCATGGGTGTGTCTCATTCCGTCTTCCCCACAACCACATTCTCTAGGCACTACAAATGATAAGATGGACATAGAAATCAACTCCACTGGGCCGAGGTAGTCTGACTCCAGATAGCCCTGTTCCTAAGAAAGGGAAATGCATGTGCAAAAGCACTGAGGCAGGGCCCTGGCAGGCAGAACGCAATCCACTTCGACTGGAGAGGAGCGTAGGTCCAGCTGGAGAAGTAAGTAGGCCACACTGGTCCTATAGGCCAGGTAGGACCTTGACCCCAATCGGACAACAGTGGAACAACATTGAGGATTTTAAACAGAGGGAGTGGCAGAGTCTGCTCTTTAAAAAGACCACTGTGTTGAAAATGAATATGTGAGTGACAAGCAAACAGGGCATGTGGTTTAGATACTATTGCAACAAAGCAATCAAGAAGTGATGATGGTTTGGTCAGTCCAAATGAGGGCAAGAAGTGGCTGTATGTGACATCTATTCTGGTACTATCACAAGCACACCTTTGCCCATACTGTTCCTTCCACCAAAATGTCCATTCCAGCTAGCCTACCTGTTGAGCTCTTATTCATCCTTCAAAACCCAGTGATGCATTGTCCTCTTCAGTGCTTCCACCTTGTCCCCTAAGCATTTATTTGTTCTGCTCTCACAACATGTACAATATTGTTTATAATTCTCCTGTTTGCATTTTCACTTTCCCTGTAAAGTGGAGTATTTCCTGAGCAGGGCTGGGACTGGGAAGGCAAGTAAGGAGGCCCCAGGGGTCATGACCTAGGGGGCAGTGTCTCCTTCAACTGGGCATACTGGCTTTGCTCTAGGCCTGGCTGGATGTGAGGCCAGAAGCCATGTTCTCTCCATTTTGCATTGTCAGCTCCTGGGAAACACAGACAGCCCCTGAAAATAGAAAGAAAGCCTTTGTGATCAATCTTGTCCCTTGTTGGCAATTGCTGAAATCCACCCGCCCTCTCCTTACACTGCTGCTCTCTAGTGACCAAAGGCATGCATTACATTTTCTTTAAGACCTGGAAATAGAGAACAATTAGCTAAGCTTTAGGTGGGTTTTCAACAACACTGCCCCAGGCTAAAAATCCCTGAAGTTCTAGTGAACATTCCAAAGCTATTAAAGCTATAGCTGTGTAAGAGGAAGATTTCATGCTGAAAACTTCTCTGACTAGCTCCTGGGCCTTAGGGTTTAGGGATCATGAAACTGTAACTCAAAATTCAGCATCATATCAGTTGCTGCATCCTTTTCAACTTCTTTTATGGAGCCCAATATAGATATATTTTTTGAATTATAGATTTGCCTGATAGGGAAGTCATTTCATGTTCTGTATTTTTATAGAAAAATTTTAAGATTTTTATGGCATGAACTTCAGGTAGTTAACTGGCTCTGATGATCAGAACCTTTGTAAATCTTCCTGTTAATGGCCATTGTGATTCTGAGATGCAACATAAAATCACTTATTTTAATCTTTTTAAATCTTTTTTTTGTTCTGAAACTGAACTTCAGGGACTTATTTTCCCTTTGGGATGACTTCATAGAATTCCTCCTTTTCCCATTCACAACATGCCAGTATTATAGGGGAAGGTCTACATCCCATTATTTCTATGATTAATTCGAAGCAAGCTGACTCCATGGCTTGCCCAGTGACTCTCATTGCCAGAAGTACAAACTGCCAGAACAAATGGGCTCTTCATGCTGGTAGAGAAAACAGCAGGATTTCAGCGTTTCTCCTGATGATTTCTAACCTGTAATCATGTTGTTTTTCTTCTTTCCCTCAACGCTCCAGGCCATTCCTCAGTTATCAAAGGATGTACTATGTATTCATACAGATGTTATCCAGTGGCCCTGCCTGGCTGGCCATCATTCTGCTCATCACTATCAGCCTCCTTCCTGATGTTCTCAAGAAAGTCCTGTGCAGGCAGCTGTGGCCCAGCGCCACAGAGAGAGTCCAGGTACCCAGCTGCTCCCGCAGGCCATGGCGCACTGCAGCTCCCCAGGCTCGTAGTAGGATGTGATCGTTACATAAGACAGCATGAAAGGTTTGGGTTGAAAATGTCATCGGTGTATTACTGATGAATTTCATGATAGATGATTTTAAACATTAACTTAGGTAAAATTCAAGATGACCAATGTTTAGACTGAAGCAGCTAGTCAGCTGAAATAAGAAAAAGGTTAAGCCAATACAAAAGACAAGTTATTTTGTGTGAATCTAAAAATGTTTTCTTTAATTAATTATTACTTTAAAGATAAAATTGCATTATTTTTAGGGATGTTGAATTTGGCTCAGAACTTTAGCATTTATATTGGGAAATTCTGGTAACTAGTAGGGCTACTTATTTTCTGTATTCCCAAGTTGAGGCCAACAAAGCTGGATTCTGGATTCAGGTAAGAAGTGAGATATGCAAAATGTCCAGACTGGCATAGGACACCAGAAGATGTTACTCAGAGCTTTTCAGAACCACTCTGGCCCTTCCCAGAGTTTTCAGGGCGGGCACATCCCCGTCCCCTCACCCCTGCAGTCTCAGGGCGGGCACATCCCCGTCCCCTCACCCCTGCAATCTCAGGGTGGGCAAATCCCCGTCCCCTCACCTCTGCGATTTCAGAGCGGGTACATCCCACATCCACCATCCCATCAATTTGCCCATGGAGGTGCAGAGCCTAAGTAAGGAGAAGGAACAATGCTGGTAAGAGGGTGGAAGCCACAGCTGGGGCTGTTTCTGCAGGTTGCATGTCTTCCTCGTAGAGCACAGGTGGTTGTGAAGGTGGGAGGGAGGGCGTAAGGCAGAAGAGAATGTGTCATACGTTCTGGGAGCAGTGGTGAGATGCTTGAGAAAGCTTAGATGGCCCCAGTGGTCTCGGTCTCCAAGTGCTGTTGGGCTGCGTTTGGAAACTGGGATGGAAACAGGTAGCCCTCCACTGCACTGCCTGTGCCCACCTAACCGGTCCCGGCAGCTGAATGAGTTTCGGGTTGGTGAGCTTTCCTAGAACTATGGTGTTCATTTATAATGTTGAATCCAGTGCCACCAGTTCCTAGTGATTCCCTCCGCTATGTACCTGCCATGTTTATAAAGTCAGTGCTGCCACAACTCGAGAAGATTTAGTGAGAGTATACGTGTCCAGTTTCACAACGAATTATGTCAAGTTACCACTTTTACACAAGTGTTATTGGACAGGAATGTTTTCAGGGCTTTGGTGACAAGGCGGAGAAAGACAGCAGGAATGGGAGGTCCCCCCTGCCCTCCAGCAGGGCTAGGATTGCTAGGAAGGGGGGCCCGCGTTGTCTGGTCTCAGTATGCCACAAGTTCACTTAGTGCAGCAACATGAGTGTACGTGGGATGTTGTTGGCATTTAATCAGACTCACAGTGTGTTCTTGTTTCTCTTTTCCTTTCCTCATTCCCTCCATCTTCTGACCTCTTTGCCTAAATAACCATTACTACCTTGTCTAACGATGTGCGTGGCCCTCCTGAACTTCTGGGACTGGCAGACTAAGAACCAGTGCCTTTCTGTTGAGCAGTCCACCATCTTTATGCTTTCTCAGACTTCCAGCAGTCTGAGTTTCTGACGGAACAAGGTGATGCTTTCTGTCTTTTTGCATGTTTGAAATTATAATCACAGGACATCAGAGGGCTGACTTTTAATATCAAGAGCTGTCAAACACACACTCTGGTGTTTATGACTCATACGTTTGTTATAACCACTCCCACTCCAAGAAAAAAGGGGATAATTTGTACCTTGAGATGTGGAAAGGGCATGTGGGCTATGTTTTCTATTAATACCGCTAACCAGTGTTTCTCTCTCAGCGTCCATTGGAAGTATTTGATCCCACCTGCAAAGGGCGGCTGCTGCTTCACGCAGGCCCGCTGAGCGCCTCGGGCCGTGCCGCCTGGACTCATGGTTCCTAACACGAAGGTGTGGGTGTAGCCGTTTCTAAGGCACACGGGCCCTTGAGTGAGCAAGTTACCTCAGTGCCATCCTCTCTGCAGCCCAGTGAGGTCGGGTAGCAAGACCTCCTTGTGTTCACGTTCCCCTGTAAATCCATTCTGCAGTCGGGGAAACAGGCCCCATAGTGCAATGTGCTCGGGGCCTGGTAGTGCACTGCGGAACAGGCAAGACTGGCGAGCCATTTGAACTGTGGACGAAAGCCAGGAGAAATGAGTTTCGGGTCAAAGTTTTTACCACATTTTTTTTAAATAATTGTTTTAAATCTGTTTCTAGAAAAAGCCTTCTACTTTGCTTTGAATGGCTGTTGTGGCCGGTTTCTTAGCCGTATGGAGCCATTCACACAGCATTTCTCTGTGGCAGTTGCTTTGGATCAAAGCCTTTTAATCAGAGCCAAGATTTCAGAGACAAAGCATTATCTAGAGAATATTCTCTATCTGTTTTTCAGTTGTATGTTCATGTACCTAAATACCACATTTATGTGTGCCTCAAAATTAATGCTATTTTGAAAACACCCTGGTATTACCAGTTTACCAATGCAGGTTGTTTAACAGGAAAATGCCTAAAGCAAGGAAAAGGCCTTTTTTTTTCTTTCTTTTAAATAAACAGCTCCTCTTCTATACATTTTAAATGGTATTTTTTTAAAATATATATCTTTATTATTATTATTTTTTTTTTAGAGAGAGAGAGGAAGGGAGAGAGAGGTAGAAACATCAATGTGAAAGAGAAATACTGATCTGCTGCCTCCTGCACACCCCCTACTGGGGATCGAGCCCAAAAACCCAGGTATGTGCCCTGACTGGGACTCAAATCGGGACCTCTCAGTCCATGGGACGATGCTCAATCCACTGAGCCACACCGGCCAGGCTTACACACTACTTTTTAACTAACAAGATGGCACATTTTTTTCAGTTCAAGTTATTTGTTGGCAATCAAAATATTTTTAATGTGATGCCATCAGAATTTGTTAGAATTAATTCATAGCTTCACGTTGCTGTTGACCTATTTGAAAACATTTAGGATGGAATTATTGAGAACATTTTAATAAGTCATGGGAGGTACTGATGACATTGATCCAATCATGCCAGCTCTGGATTAAAAAAAGAATACTCTAATTATTGATGCAGTTTACTAAGAGTTGATTTGCTTCTGAACCTTTGCAGAAGCCAGACTCCAGCCACCTGGTGAAGGTCATTACTGAGTGCTCTGTGGTGTCCAGGCACCAGGGCGTAGCCCACAGGTACCCCACACTCACACCTTCGCGCAGAGTTCCTGCAGCCAGCGTGCTCCTGGCACACACAAGGCCAATGTTTGTGCAGCTGTAAAACCACCCACTTTTGCAAAACTTTGGAGGAAAAACATTTAACTAGTCCTTATGTGGAATATATAGTACTTCAAATGGATGAGTTGTTACTGGTTTTTTTCCCCTTTTAATCTGTTCTGTTAAAAATATCACAGGCACCAGGTTTCATATATATATACACACATATATGTGTGTGTGTTTATACATATATAATTTTATATATGTATTTATATATTTATATCTACCTATGTTTTTATATATAATTTAATTATATATAAGTCAAAGGGCAATAACTCCACCTCTTGTTTAGCTCCTTCTTCTCCCTGGAAGGCATTCTGTGGTTCAGACCTTGTGGTTCTTCACCTTTAAACATCCCTTCTTCCTACTGCTGAGAAACTAATATGGTTTGACTGGAAAGTCTTAGTGTCCAGGTGCCCAGCCCTGTTGGCCTGCAGCACTGGGGTACCTTGAACTTCCAGGGTTCTAGTCTTGGGCAGGACTCTTCTGTTTGACCAGAGGCAGGGCTGAGGATCAGAAGGAAAGGGAGAGAGGAAGGTAGAGACAGAAGAACAGAGATGGGCAGCACACAGTTCCTCCCCTCAGGGAACCTTGGTGCTCTTTTGGGGGTGCCTAAAGGGCCACTGTCTAGTAAATGGCACTCAAGAAGCTTTCAGGTGAGTGTGGCAGGGTTCTTAGCCTCGGGGTTCTGGGAGCACTTCCTGTGCCGTTATGGAGGCTGGCCGTGGCCGTGCTGGGAGCTGGCCTGGTGGGCGGCCCTTCCAGCTGAGGCCCTGCTCTGCCCCCTGGCCTGTTCTCTCTGCACGGCTCCGTCCCTCGGTCTTCCATGTGCAGGCCCTGTTAGGAATACCACCTCTTTCCCCAGCGGAGCCCCTGGGAGGTGCCCACACTGAGAGCCCTGTGCCCATCGTGCCCTGAGTTTGTGCAGACTTCACATGAATCCGGCCTGCCCTTTTCATGCAGAGGGGCCTGGAGAGCGGCCCTCGTGGTCGCTGGCCCCCGTCCCAGCTGCACAGCTGGACTTTGCCCTCAGTGGCCGGAGAGTTCTCTTGGTTCCCCGTGTGGCAGCCGTCTCAGTGTCTTTCCTCGCCTTGCAGAAGAGCTCGAAACTCAAAACAGCGGTCGATGCCGCGCTGAGCACGGACAGGCCACTTCTGAAGGACATCTTGCCGGGGCCGAGGCGTGATTAGCCCAAGGATAGGTAACGGCGTCCACCATGCTGCCTGGCAGGCTTCCTGGGTGTGCTGTGATCCTTTCAGACTGTCTGTTTTTCCTCCAAAGTTTTGCTGTGCTGTGCCGTTTTGATAACAAAATTCATTAAAAAAAAAAAAAAAAGGAAATGATTTTCACACACACGTGTATTTGTATCCCAGGTAAGTGACCTGCCTGAGAGTGGCTGGACTGCTATGGTCGAGTGTTGTACATGCACACACGTGGATGTGCGCACGTCCCCTGCATCACATACACCTGCCGTGAAGAACATGGTTCCACGTGCACTTATGTGACGTCCTCGCGTGGTGTGCTTGGGGCTCAGTGTGCCAGAACAAACTCCATTCCTCGTCCTTGGTGGTGGAAACAGCTTCACCTCACAGGTCTATCAGGAGAGGCTGTGTTTGGAAATAAAAAATGGAGGATTGAACATTAGCCCAGGCAGAGGTCGGTACGGATGCATTGTTGCCTATCAGCTGAAACGTGGAGCTGTGTTTGTGCCTGAAAAGCATGGAGAGGACGTGCAGCCTTGTTCACAGCCTTCTAAGCTAGATCTCTCAGGTTGGACAAATACCCACCTGCTCCGTCCAAAAGCAGGCATGATTGGGATGGTTATTCCTTAAAATAGATTTCTCCTCTGTAGCTTCCCCCACTCCCTCCCTGCCTGTTAAATTAATAATGTCTAGGATGTGTAGCGGGTCTCCTTGGGCTGTTAAGAAACCATACAGACCTCATTTGTGAGAATAGAGATAAACGTAGGCTGGGGAGGTTGAGACAGCCAGCCAGTGGGATGTGGACCCTGGTCTCAGGGTGGTTTGGCACTCTTACGTTAAGGAATCAAACTTGCCTTTGCATACGTATGAACATTGTCTTTGCCCACCAATGAGACCAACAAGGGGAGTCTGTAGGCAGACTGAGGTTCACACACTGCCTCGGTGTGGTGGTTCCCAGGGGATGGATGCTGTCTGACTGTCCTGTTGTGGAGCCCCTGACCAGGCATGATGGCAGTGATCATAGTAGATCCCTGTTGATGGGATTCTTGTGGAGGGTCCTGACTCTGTCTTTTCTGTTCTCCGACAGAGCGCGCGCACCCGGAGTCAGGACCACTCTGACGTCAGCCGTTTTGTCTGTCTGCACAGCCCCAGCCCCTCGGCCACGCAGCCCGGCTCCTACACCAAGCGGGTGACGTTAATGTGCCCAGAGAGCAAGGAGTGCTCCGTCCTCCCTCCCATTGTCAGCGTCTCAAACAACCGTCACCATCCCAGCTGGAGACCCGACTGCCACGGGCCCTGTGGGGAGACCGGTGACGAACAGATCACCAGTTCAAGCCTTTAAGACCCGCACGCGAGTGTGTGTGCTGTGCACGCGTGTGCTTTTCCGCTGTCCCCAAAGGAGGAAGAAGGGGCAACAGGACCTGTCTGGAGTGCATAGGCTGGCAGTCTGCGTGTTGTTCACAGGCCTATAGCCTTGTGCATTTAGTTGGACTGCTAAAATAAAAAGGGCGTGCACAGGGCCTGGCATATCCGCCCAGGTCAGGGTCTCTGTGTCTGCGCCTGAGGAGGACATCTGCTTGGAGATGGGCAGTCCAGCTTTAAGCAGGAGGCAGTCATGTCCACCCACCGTCATTTAAGCACAGATGTGACTTACCCTTGCCATGGGACCATGGTCTGGCCTCTGCACTTCCTCCAGAGCCCCTGACACCTCTGCTTTTGGCACAGACGCAGATAGTCCTGCATCCATTTCCCGTTCGAGTCGCAGACTGTGCTGCTGCTTTTGTTCAGAACCCTCCACATACTGAAGTGATGTTTAGGGTTGTGTCTGATTCGAAGTGTGTTTCTCTGAGGGAGTTGTTACCCTGTATGTTTTGGAGTATCTTAGTGTTTCCACATGTCTTCCTTTCCTGGCCGTCCCTCAGCTGCCTCTGTGGAGGGAAAAAATGAGTATTCACATGGGAGGGATAGGCAATACTGTCCATTTAAGCTTTCCCAGTACGAGTTTTGAGATAGTTATCGTCACACTCCCAGGGGTAAAGCTTATCAGTTTACTGCTGTTGGAAAATGTTTATTTCATGGGTGTTAGGGGAAGGATGGTGGTCTGGGATGCCCTGGACAGATACCGGCTGTGATGATCGACTCCCTTTCAATGACCTCATAGACAGGTGGCCTCTGGGGGTGGTGTTCATCTTCCAAAATCTATTTCAGGCCAACATGAGTTTGCCCATGAGAAGGCCTGCGAGTTCTAAAAAGCAATATTGCCACTCTAGACTGCCACCTCCCTGGTCACTCTGACCGGACCGTGCCCTGGGTTTTCTGTTCGATCTCTGCTTCGTCTTGGCGTGCTGTCCAGTGGGTAAGCCGCCAGGAGGCTGCTGTGTTAGAGTCCCTGTCACTTTCCTGGTATCTCCCTTTCTAGAAATAGCCTAGTTGACGTAGCCTTAATGGTCCGCAAAGAAGACATTTCAGTTTGAGATTCAAAATTCAGATGGTAAAACGGATGCCTTTTTAGAAAAGTGTCATCCGGAAGCTGAACTAAAAGCAGGGAACTTGTCTGCTGCCAGACCTCACGCGGTGGAATCTGGGGACGTTGTAAGTGAGCAGAATCTGCTTCAGAGAGGTTTGATGTTAGATGTTTTTGGAAGTTCAGATTTCACAGTTTGATTGTATAATATTTTACCTAAAATATTTATTTGACATAGGGGATAAACTAACAATGAGAACAGTGAACACAGAGTAGTTGGGATAAATTGAGGTGGAGTATAAACACCATACCAAAGACTAGGTGATGTAAGTCTGGCGTCAAGTAAGACAGGATGAGGAGGGCGCCATTTCCGTCCTGAAGGTTCTCACCACACCCGCCAGTCCCCGTCCAGTCTGTCACTCCCCGTGTTCTGTGTGGTGGCAGCCTCGGCTCTTCCGGTCCACACTAGACCCTGCAAACAGTGGTGTGTGCATTTTTACAGCCGTTTTTAAGAACCTAATATGGGTATAAACATAATACCTTAGGGGGGACAGATTCTCTGTATGTTTAGTTAACAAATTCTTTGTAACGTATTTTTTTAGAAATCTTAAAATTGCCTTTGCACTGAAGTATTTTCATAGCTGTTTATATCTCTTATTCATTTATTTGTTAACATACCATATCTAATTTTTAAAGTATGTTTTTAAAGCTTTTATTTTTTAAGTTGGTGAAATTTTGGCCACTTTAAATTCTGGTGAGATTTTGGCTGAATGTCTCAGTATCTGATGAATGTGAATTTTCAGGTTTGATTTTATTCTCTATACTTGTGATTAGTTGAAAGGTGTATTTAGCATATGTATTTTGCTATGCTTCTTCACAGTTCATTGCAAGTTCATCTGCTTTTGGTTTGTTTTTCATTTCCATCCTTCAGCCTTAAAACAAGCTTCTTACTTGATGGTTCAGTATCTTCTTTTCACTTGCATTAAGATGGTTACCATTTACCTCTGATAATTAAGTCTCATTATGAACGTCACTAAACCTTTACACACTCAAAATGTTTTTTAAAAAAACTGTTTGGGAAATGAAGGGACTGTGCCTGATAATTTGAAATTGATAAGGAGCCTGACATAAAAAGAGGAGGAAGGGAGGAACCCCGCTGAAATGACGTTTCAGATATGTCTCCTATTCAGATGTCAATGTGATTTTCTTTCACATTTCAGTAGTTAGTATTTACTTGCCTTAAACTAACTTTAAAGCAAGTAACGTCACTTCAAGCATTTTTCTTAGTTTTGAAAATCTTATTCATGACTGCATATGCTAGTAGATTATTAACTCATAATCTCCCACGTTGGTCGGATACCCGGCTCCTAACCCGCGCTCCGTCCCGACAGCCGGCCATCTACGAAGCGTGAGTGGTCCCGAGCACGCTCTGTTCTCTAGCTTTCGGCTCCACAGCACCCACAGCCACACATGTGCACATGTGCCAGTTCTCATGCACACACATAACTGCACACACACGCTCCCTAGGCCCCACGCGTGCCTGCCTCCTTCCTACGGGGAACCATGCGAGAAGCCTGTCGAAGAGAAGGCTTGTTGGGCCTCCGTCCGAGTGCCCAGGCGGGACACAGCTTGGCAGGGCAGCCCCAGCGTGTGAAGCAGAGCTGCTTCATGACCCAAGCAAGCAGTGAGTGCCCTGGCCTAGCTCCTCCTCTTCAGGAAGTCCACCCCCACCCCCCCCCACACACACAATTTGCCCTTAGGACAAGTGGCATCTAGACCCTCCCTGCTGCAGTGTCTTCACATATGTCCAGGAGCACGGGCTGGCCCTCTGCCACAGGGCGCCAGGAGAAGACGTGCCCCTCTTTCGGCATTTCCTGTCAGAACCCAAATCAACCACTCCTGTGCACTTGACTCATAGGGTGAGTGTGGACCTGGCGGTGCCTGGACAGGGGAGGAGGCTAAGAACAACCTGCTTCTGCTATAACGGGTTTAGAATTGTAGTTTGGCCTGGTGAGATCCTACAAAAATGTCTCACCCCCTCTGTTATCACTACATAAATTGCTGGGCTGGGCGTCAACCGAATACTCAGTGCAACCTAAAGGAAGTTCTCTGGTCTTTTTCTTTAAAACCACTAAGTTCACCTGTTCCGCACTGACTGATAACCTAAAGCAACCACTTCTACTTTCTCTTACAATTAATATTATTTATTTGACAACTCAATATAACACCTTGGTATGCAGTTCTACATTTCTTTTGGAAGTTTCCCATTTGTAACTTTAAAAACAGGAAAATTTTCTGTTGGTAAATTTTTTTAAGCTAGAGGGTAGATAAATGAGAATTATTCTGATATTGTCTATACGCAAAATTTTAATGGAGATGTGTTGGAAGTATTATTAAAGTGTGATTCTACTTTTGCAGAAAAAAAATCTAAAGATCAGTTTATATAGCTTTATTTTTTACCTTATCAAAATATACAGAATTTTAATATGCATATATTGTCTCTGACTTAAAATTATAATGTGTGTCTGCATCACTGTTTAAAATGTCCATTGATTATGTAATGTAATAAAACAGAATCTTCAAAAATGTATTTAACAGGAATGGAATCTATCTATAGTTGTCATCATCATGAATACTGGAATTTATTTTTAAATTATTGACTATAGTAAGTATATTTAAGATAATAAGTCAGCCTCCAAACAGTCACGTTTCATTGATAATAATTCATTATCCTGCTTTGAAAAATTAAATTATAAATTAAACCAAATCTTACATTTCTGTAAAGTTTATTTTGTATGCTGTTTTTAAATTTTATTTCTGTAGATATATAGTATGAGTTAATATTATATTGGACTTTTCTGCAGATTATCTAAGCAGGAGACTTCAATCTGCTTGCAATAAAGAAGAATAAATGTCTGGTTTAGTTTCTTTATAAATAAAAAATCTGAGAAGTTGGACTTAAGTTTCTGCTAACAGAAGCTACAGAGAAAAGCACTCTCGCTCAGCCGGTGTGGCTCAGTGATTGAGCGTCGACCAAGAGGTCGCTGATTGAATTCTCGTTCAGGGCACACACCCAGGTTGTGGGCCAAATCCTTAGTGTGGGGCATGCGGGAGGTGGCCAGTCGATGTTCTTTCTCATTAATGTTTCTATCTCCCTCTCTCTCTCCCTTCCTCTCTCAAATCAATAAAGAAAAAAACACTCAAATTGTGAGTGTTCCTTTTTCAGATAAAGTGGAAAACAGTGAAAACAGATTCCCTGAAAATGTATGGAGTGGAGTGGTTTCTGCCTCCTTTATGCCCCTGCTGGCCCAGGGTTTCCCTGTGCTCACTGAGGCCATAGTGCTCAGTTGTGGGCTGAGGGCCCACACAGAACAGGAAACACAGTGTAGGGTTTCTTAATGCTCTGTCCATCCCCATGCCGCCTCCCTGACTGTCATGCCCAAGACCCATGCCTTCAGCCACATTCCTGAGGTCTAAGCTTTCCATTCCATTCTCTCTTTGCTCTTGTCCAAACTCCAGGCCCCCAGGCCCTACATGGGTCTCTTGGGTTTTGTTGGTATACCCAACTCTGCTATGATGAAGATTTAGTTCTGTGGGTACACTGCTCCCCACCCAGTTGAATCCTGGGCACTGCTTAAACACCCAGGAATGCCCCACCTGGCTCTGGAGCACCAGCAGCTCAGCCCCCCAATCCCCACCTACCCCTAGCCCTGCACCTGTTCTGGTGGTCATTTGCTACCACCCCCTCACAAAACCTGATCCTAGGTCCCAGATCGTGGGATTCTGACTTGCTCGGGTGACCAGAATGGATTCAGGTGGAGGATTCCTGGTACTGTCCGTTTGAAGGCTGACAGTGCTCAGCTCAGACATCCTTGCCTCAGGAACCAGCCCAGACCCCTGGAAGGGACTGAGTCAGGCCTCGGGCTGTGCAGTTCTCAATTTGGGAGTTATTACCCAGCCCTGGAATGCCACCAAGCAAGCACTGAGTGACACTGAGTGGGTGACCTTCACTGTCCCAGACCAAACCCCAGTAGCCAATACGTAACTGTACAAAATGCCAGGGACAAAACAAAGTAAATGCCACAGGTGAATCCAGGGTCCCAGTGCTACCGGCTGTTTGTTGTCCACGGTCCACACCTGCCCCAGGTGACTTGAATGTATGATCGCACTAACTCGCAGCTGGGGTGAGCCGAGAGCTCGCACGTTGGTATGAGGCTCTGCAGGTGAAGCAGCCGATGCATCCACCTACATGAACAGGAACGCACAGCGTTTATTCCACTGGATCATATGCCCGCTTGACCAACACCCACTTATTATTGAGTTTCCTCTCTCATGGAGAAACCTTGGAACACATCATTTCTCAGTTCCTTTCTTGCACTAGGAGATACCACAAAAAATTTTAGTCATTAACTTCCTCGGGGAAAATGCCCACCTTCGTACATTTTTATTCGGGGTGTTATTAGAATCACTCAGAAACATCTAATCAGCAGATGTCTAACTCACCACTGACTTACATTTATGAATCTTAAGCCTGACAGAGGCCCAGTAGAAATCTGAAAGTCCCACCATCCATGAATCAGACGAGTTTCTTACTCAAGACATCAAACCCCACAATTAGTGGACAGGAGTTCTGGCTAAAGCAGGTGGATCTTGAGTAACACTTGCTGCTCAATGTCCAGAGAAATTTACACTCATTGCCCACAGCAGATTATTCAAGGCACCTGTCTCTATCCTTAAATCATTTTGTTTGCTCTGCTGACCTGTCGGCAAGACAGGGGAAATCACAAATCCCTGGAAGGCACAGAAAGCCGAGCCTTGCACCCTGAGCGCCTATTGACAGACTGTCCTAATGTATTTGTTACCACTTTCATTAGAAATACGGATTCCTGGATGAATTACTTATTAAGAGTATATAGTATCCTTCAAAATTAGTTACACAAAATAATAACTAGAGAAAAATATTCTCATTAATGCTCTTACTAATCTGTTTACAAGATTGAAAGAAAGGGAAAAGGTTTAAGTAAACTAAGGATAGACATTGTCCTCTTGAGAATTTCAGATAGTTTTAATACCTTTAGAATTTTCAAGAGATCTACTATAGAGTCTCAAAATAGGAGTTAAATATCAAAATAAACGATGCTTTAGTTAGCTAAGATCTTGTTTCATTTATGAATGGTTATAGTTCCTCAATCTTTATAAACTAGTTAAGCAAAGAATATATATGTGATCAGGGGCAAATGGTTAAAATACTGACCAGTGACAGTAAATGCATCAAACCTGAGACCTGCTGCTGTTGTCAGCGTTGGTAGGTTGTCGTACGCCCTTCAGGGTAGATAACTCCTATGAGGACAGTCAGCATAAAAGAATAATCAGGCAGCACAGAAGTGGCCGCCCTTCTTAGAAATAGATCTCCATCTTCTGCAGCACTCCGTGGGAGAGCACCCTAAAACAAGCTACCTGCTGGCTCACTGCATTCGTTTTCTGGGAGACTGTAATGAAGCACCTGACCCAGGCGGCTTACACAATAGGAACTGGTTGTCTCACAGTCTGGAGGCAGAAGTCCCAGAGCAGGTGTGAGCAGGTTGGTTCCTTCTGAGGCCCTGCGAAAGAAAGAATCGGGTCCATGCTCTCCCCCAGCTTCTGGGGTAGCCGGTGGTCTTGGGTGCTCCTTGGCTTGTAGACTCATCACCCATCTCTGC